TTTATAGCTAAGGCACAAAGAGATTAAGCAATTTTCCATGGTCAAGCAGCTAATAACTGGAGAAATTGGGATTTGAATGTTAATAACTTGTATCCTAAATTCCTGAGTTATAGCTGCTCTTTGGCAACCCAATGGGATGATGGAAAAACAGAAATGTGGCCAGTATTAAAGTGTGCAGTCTGACTATGTGAGTTGGTGGACCTGAGATGGTTTTGTAGAGGTGGGATGCCCTGGCAGGTAGGCAGATACCGGGTTGAGGTGGGGCACACTGGTTGAAGGAAGTGATGACAAGTGCTTGGGTCCATTTGCTGAGGTGCTTTCTCTGTCGGGCACTCGGCTAATCTCTAGGAAGACCAAAACGAGGAGACTGGGACTAAAGTTGGGGAGCTGACAGCCCAGTTGGGAGAGTGGTATGCAGACATGCGTAATGAAGGCACAGCTCAACTCTACCCACGGGGAGGCAAAGTCTTCACCAAGCTTTGAGGGAATCTCTAGGAAGCCAGGGGGAGAAGGGCCTTGGTGGAGGGAACAGCATTGTACAACTTGGCTCACCCATTTGAGGGAAGTAATATTTGGACAAGTTTAAGGAAGGTGCATGATGCTAGCCTACCTTGCACTTCTCGTAGTCCATCTGAGGCTTCTCCCATCTCCATTTTCTGCAACCACAGGCCTTTACCAATCCCTGCCCTTCTGTAGGTGGGGGTGAAAGGAAGATGGATTATATCCATGTTTCCCACCACAGTAATCCCTCTGAAGTGGGATATGAGTTCCTAATTTCAGAAAAAATGTTGGAGGGTAGGATAGGACCTAGGACCCCAACACAAGCTTGAGCAGCATAAAAACTTTTTGACTCACAAGTGGTACTTTGGCAATACAGCAGTTTGGTACCCAAAGAAGAAGAATGTTATTTGCAGAAAGACAGTAACAAGGCTGTCCATTATCCCAATACTGGGACTCACCGGTCTACCTTATTTTTCCTCCAAGAAACTGAAAGTTCGGTTAGCTCTGGGGACCCAGCTTATGTCCAGGGTTACCTGGTGAAGAGGTCCGGATAGCTCCCAGCAGAGAGAGACTGAACTGGTGTAGGCCCTTGAGATGAGCCCTGAGCCCACCCACTATAGTGCCCACTCAGTGGAAGTAAGGAGGCAGAGGATGGTCATGGCCACCAGTGAGAGCTGTGGCCATGACCCACATGCTGCCCCTCAGCATCTCCATTTGTGCTGGACCAGAGGACAATTATCGATAGGACCAGGAAATGCCATCCAGCTATATCTGACTGGAGCAAGTCTAAATGCATGGTACTCAATACGAGTAAAATAAAATTCAGACAGGGTTGCAAGGGATAACAGTTTATTTTTACAAAGGATCCAACAGGCAAATTTGTTTCCAGGAAAGGTAGAGATTTGTAATAACTACAGTGAAGATACCTTCAGGGTATACCTGGGCCTTGGCCACTTTGCACCTAGTAGCAGGTCAGAGTCCCCATGGCTTAGCACATTTACAAAACACTGTACACAGTGAAAAGACTTCACAAATCACCTCTAAGTGTGTAGCTCAGTCATTCACATCCCCAACACTACTTACACAACCCCAGCTGGCATCTCTGCCAGCTGGACTCCACTGCTTAAAGAATGGCTCTATAGTGTCACAGCTTCAGAGAGGCAGCTGGCTTCTCCCTCACAGCCATGCTAATCACCTCCTCCTCCTCCTGGCAGCACAGTGGCTGGAGCAGGGTCGGCTTCAGAACTTGCTCATCTCAACAAAATGGTCTAAGAATTGCACCTCCCCATCACAGGAGTCACACCTTATAATATTCTTTAGCACAAAAACTCTAAGCCAATCAACTACTTTGCTTAAGAGTAACGAAAGAAAAAATATTTTTAAAGCTTGCTCAAGTTACTGCACATTAAACAAAGTGTACTTTATAATCCAGCCCTTGTAAAGAAAGGACACAAGTCATGGCCAAATCAAAATAAATCTATCTGGAGAGACTGTCCTATTTTTGCAGTGTCAGGCAAAATGGCTGAGACCTGAAGTGCTGTGCATGTGCTTGGTAGAAGCCTGGGAAGCTGGAAGGACCTGGCCAGCTCTGGGTGGGGCAGCGAGGACTGGTCAGTCTGAACCGTCCTGGCCCTTCAGCCCTGAGCAAGGCCACCTCTGGTCTCATACTCCAGTTATTCTGGGGGCCAATACCAGCCCTTGGTGGAGAAGAAAAACCAAGCTGTGATCTGAGTAGTCATTCATTCCTGGGTCAGGCCCAAGGGACAGAGGGAAGCAGGGGCGTGATAAGCCAGACTACCCACTACCTCTAGTGACCCCAACCTCCCTTTTCCCCCTTACTTTCTTCTAAGGACCCAGGGACTTTTTCTCAGTTGTTCTTCCAGGGCCTTCTTCCTTTCCTATTACAGGACCCATAAAGCCAAGAATTTTGAGGAGGCCAAGCAAGGAGAGGTTGCCATTACATTTCGAAGGGTGCTGGGGTACGGGCACCGGCTGGCACATGAGAAAGTTGTCTGTGCAGGAGGAGGACTAAAAACTTCTCAGCTGCTGCTTTATCAGTGCCCTGCAGTAGACCAACTGCTCAATACTGACCTGTAATTAAAACAGAGTGGTCAGCCTTGAAGCGGAACCATTTTACATTCTAAGGCAGGAATCCCCAACCTTTCTGGCACCAGGGACCGGTGCTCCTATGAGAATCTAATGCCGGATGATCTGAGGTGGAGCTGAGGCAGTGATGCTAGCCCAGGGGAGCGGCTGCAAATACAGATGAAGCTTCACTGGCTGGCCCACCGCTCACCTCCTGCTGTGCAGCCCAATTCCTAACGGCCACGGACTAGTACCAGTCCATGGCCCAGGGGTTGAGGACCCCCATCCTAAGGATTGAGCAGCTGAGTGCCAAAATGTTAGGATGGAGCAATTTTAGGAAGGTCCAACCATACAACTTGAGCACATTAACCCCACCATCTCAAGAACACCCATCCCCCAACTCAGTAAAACTGTCATGAGTCTAACTGTGCATTCCATCCTACGCTGTCCATCCTGAGGGATTCTGACACCTCAGTGCCTGCTACCATACACTCACACAGAGGGTGAGGGGTCTGAAATTTATACTCCCCATACTAAGCTCAGGGTCGCTTCCTCCTGAGCTGGACATATCCTCCCATCCTCTGGGCTATAAGGGCTGCCACTGAGATAAAGCTCTCGCAGTCAGAGAAACCCATCCCAACTGGCCCAGTGAAGGGAACGTGTGCCCCATACTCAAGTCCAGAGGGCATGCCAAGCGTGGAAAGTCTAGCCTTAGGCAGACTTTTCACAGAGTCATCATGGCCAGAGCATCTTCTGTAGTCCACAGGGGCCAAGAAGGGCCATGGGTACCCTTTGGGGGACAGAGTACAAGAGCTAAAAAAAAACCCTGAAAGTTCGGTCTGGGGCAAAGTTGATGTCTACCTCTGCTTTCTTCAGCAGATCAGATGTAGGAGCACAGCAGTCGGGCATGAGCCTCTCCAACTCTAAGGTGATGATGACCAAGGCCAGTGTGGAGCCCTTGAACTGCAGCAGTTGGTGGCCCGCCATACAGTGCTGCAGCTGCCTGGTCAGGGATGCGACGTGGAGGGAAGGCTTCCTCTGAGGCAGCAGCTCCACCATGTGGGGCCAGGCCATGACCACCAGGGCGTGGAACTGGAGATTGTGGTTTTTAATGTTAGAACAGAAGACCCCATACTTTTCATATATCAATGACCAAAAGTGCAAACGATTTAAATTTCCATCAGGGAACATCGTATGTTGCCCAACCCCTTTCATTCCCAGCCATGGCCCCACAAGGGGCTGGAGGCTTAAAGCCCATTCTGTGGCCAAGCTGAGCTTCAGCCTTGGAGAGGAGAGACCGTTTGCTTTGTAACATGGCCATAAGGAGTCCAAAGTACCCAGATGACACTGTTTCAATTCTGAAAGAATAGAAACATCCTCTTCAAGATTAAGGTAGCAGAAAAGTTACTTGTATCAGCTTGACATGAGAAGAAACTCTGCAAGTTGGCAACAGTGGCCAGTTTTCATGATGAAACAGCCCTTAGTGATATAATCTCGCTTCACAACAGACCAAAACCCCATGCCATTTCCACAATGCATAATTTTGCCTTACTAACATAATCATATCCTTAAGGATGACTATCATTCCCTAACTAAAACAAATATAGACTAATACGATATTTTTTAAGTGCCAGATCAATATGGTCTAAAGCCTCAATAAGGATTGTGTGTAGGTGAACAAGACAGCTCAGTGAATGTGTGTAAAGTGTAGCAAAAGCAGACAGCTTTTTATGTACAGTATTCATAGAATGGAAAGTTAAATATTTTTGCAGTGTGTATTTAAGAGAAACTCACCATAATAGTGCCGTCTAAAAAATCTTTGTAAAGTTAATTTAATGTCCTTTAACAGTGGGAGTCTGGTGGAACTGTGTTGGATTTAAGATATATTTTCACTGTTCCGTATGTTGTGAGCCTCGTGGGTCCTTACTCTGGTGCATGTGCAAGGATGTGTGCACGCCTGCGCTTGGCCGTCCTGTGTTGTGAACAGCTGTTCCAAAGGCACACACGAGTCTAGGGTAGACTCTGCAAACTCCTCAGACTTACTATGGTCAAAAAGTCCAGTGGCGTCCCAATACAGAGGTCCCAGTGCAGTTCGTCCAAAATAGCCAGCTCCATCTTCAGCAACTCATTTGGGGAATAGCCAGAGCCATAGTACTTTATGAAGTCTTTTATGCGTGGAATTAACTGTAAAAAGAAAATAAAGCGGCCAAAGCCCTATGTCATGTCGTGGTAGCTTTCGTTTTCTTATCCATGGGGGCTGGGCAGCCATGAGCCTAGCAGAGTTGTCTTCTGGTGCCCTGCCACAGAAAATACTCCTGAAAGAAAAAACAAGCTCTAGGCTATCTGTCAAGTCCCCAGGTAGTTGTGACAATGCGTAGTGAATGTCACATTGTCACCTTCTGCAAACGAGTTTTGATCCCCAGCTGTACTCCAGCTCATACTCAAAAGTGCTTGGAAACTGGGGCTGTGCCATCTTCCCTATGGGGTTCCGGTGTCCAGTGAACCCAAGGAGGGGACGGCAGGACCCCTGGGAAACTACAGTTACTCACCCCAAGCTTTCCAGGAGCTGTGGGCTCTACCTATGCCTGTTCCCAAGCCCTGCCACGACTACTTGTAGAGAAAAAAGTATGCTTTTGTGCTTCCTGGTCTGGTACCAGACAGGCTCAGTTTTGGCAACACCATAGCTGCAAACACATTCCCTTCAACCTTGATTTAATGCAGTTCAGTTTTGGAAAAACTATGACTTTTTCCCAGAGGGATTAATAAGGCTTATCTCTGAGTAAACATTCAAGTACCAAGTGCATTAAAGACCCGGTCCTACTTTTTTAGATAAAGTATTACTATAAACTCCAGAAATACTTCTTTTAAAGGTCATTTACTTGATTTTTAGTTGGAGAGGGGAATAAATTATATTCTAATAAACAAGGGCTAAAATCATCTTTATTGAAGGTTTGGAACTGGACACTAGCCACTTTTTCTGCCCCCTCAGACCCTGAGATCAGCTAAGGGAGACCCTGTGGAAATGGTAGTGGTTCCACTATCTACGAAGGGGAAGAGGTTGGAAGGAGGGAGGTCTGGAAAGGGTATCAGGAGAGGATCTTCTGAACGGAAACCACAATGAAATTGAGAAGTTCACGCAAACCTGAAGCACTTGTGGAGGCTTCTTCTCCATCTCCTGCCCCTCTCAGAGAAGGGTCCCAGAGTCCCCAAGGACCAGTTTCATTGACACGGCCAAGTCCTAGGGTCTCAAGCAGCTTTCTTAGATGTAGTTTCTGGGGGTGGACATTAGGCTACATGATTTGGGAGGCCCTTTTCCTAGTTCAATAGCAGATGCCTCTGCTCAGTGAGAGATGGCATCTGGCATCAACCAATGAGGCCAGATTTATCTACCAGGAGGTCAGGCCTCTAGGTTTGCTGGGCCAGGAGAACTCAGCTGTTCTAATCCCCTCTTTGTGGGGTTCCGGCATCCAATGAGCCCAAGGAAGAGACAGCAAAGTCCCTGAGAATTAATGACTTGTCCAAAATGCCCACCGTTCTCGGGTGCACAGGAACCTCCAATGCTCCCGCATTACACCCCTATACCTCAAAAGCATCCCAGAGCAGACATCCAGGGATGCATACCTCCTCTTCTTCGTTAAGCTTTGCTGCAAGTCTCAAGGAAGTGATTGAAACACGATGGAGTAACCTCTCTTTTACCTGTAACGTGGAACACAGTTGAGCAGAATATGAATGTCAGAAACAAATTGTAAAGAAAAAAAAAAGACTGATTATATTCCTCCACAAATAAGTTAGTGCTATTTTTAGATTTCATCAGGAATATGCTCCTGTTAACAGAACCACTCACGGAAGGAGAAGGGAATATGATACCTTCTCAAGGAACACATAGTCCCATCCTGGCTCAGGCGGAGCAAGACAGGTCCAGACAAGCACATCCTACCTGTTCACACAGCCTTTTCCAAACTAGGGCCTCTTACTCTCTCCAAGTCCACCCCCCAGCCAGCACACCTGAGCAACAGGCACAGGTATTGGGATGTGGAAAGATTCCAATTCCAGTTCTACCACCAGCAAGTTACTTAGTTTTGAGCATCTGAGATGGCTCATCTCTAAAGCAGCCATGGGGATCAGAGGTCAGTTTCCTCTCTCATCATCTGTCACCATCCTTCAGAGTGCTCCCTACCTTTATTGAAATCAGGAGGCGGCGGAAGATAGTGAGAGCCAGGTTAAAAGTGCCCTGGGAGAAGTGAAAGATGTTCTCCAGCCATAGGAGCTGCAGCACAACTTCCTGGAAAGTGTCGCCGAACTCCACCTGCTGAAAAGGAGTAGGGAGGGCGGAGAAGGTGGTTGGTGATCAATCTTGGTCCAAGGAGCTGCCTGCTTAGGGTGACCAGAAGGGCCGTGAGCAGCCCCTTCACCTTAAATCGCAGCGGGACGGAGCCCCTCCCTGTCGCTCAGCGGCTCAGCGATGCAGCCCCATCCCCGTACTGGTTTTCCGTCCAAAGCAGAGCTCCCCGACCCACACTGGCCCTCTTCCCAAGCACCTGTTCGAAGGGCACCCCCTCTGTGAGAGAACCAGTGAGTCATGCCTCGTGTGGGGACGCACCTGGGGAAGGGCCCAGCCTCCAGGTGGGGGCCCTTGCAGCTCACCTGAGCGCGGGTGCAGGTGGGTCCCGGCCGCGTCCCGTGCACGCGTGAGGAAGGGGATGCAGGTGCTCCCGGGAGGGCCCCGCGGTGGGGACCGGTACCTGGGGGCGGCCGCACGGCCACAGGCGTGCCTCGCGGCCCAAGGCCAGTTTCAGGTGGGCGATCAGCCGGCGCTCGTCCAGGAGGCCCTCCGAGTCACACGGCACCAGCCGGCGTTCCTGTCCCGGGGACGCGGGCGGCGGAGCCTGAGCGGCGGCGCGGCCTGCAGCTCGCGGGGTCTGCGCTGACTGCCGGCGGGGTTTGCTTCGGGACGGCTGTGGGAGCCTGGCCGCTCCGGGCTGGCACGCCTCCGGGAGCCTTCTCTGGATGGTTGCGGGGAGAGAGAATTTCCACGGAGGCGGCGGGAGAAGGAGGCTCACGGCCATTTCCTCCGTACGCTCGTTAGGACGCCGGCCCGGATGAGGGTCTGATCTTACCTCCTCCAAAGCAGCCCGCTGCGACGGAGAGCGCGCGCACGAGGCCATGGCGGGCGCCGGAGCCCAGGTCAAGGGCGCGGCTTTGCCGGGCATTTTATAACCCAGAGCTGGGGCCTCGCTGCTGGGCCGCCCCGGGAATGAGTGGGTGGGGTGAGCCGGCCCACTCCTGCTTCTCTGAGAGCAGACCCTGGCCCGCCCCTCCTTGACAATCGCTCTTGGGGTGATGGGCACCGACCTGGGACACGGAGGGACAGAGCTTGCAGGTAGGCAAGGGACCCCCTCTCTACCTCGCTCCCACCCCGCGCACCACTCTCAGAGTCCCGAGTCCGGATTGGGGCAGCTGGCACCAGCCTTGGAGAGGGACACCAGGCCACAGACCTGCTTCTTTCCTCAGCCGGACAGGGTCGGCATGGAATTCCTGACTCGCAGTATGATCTCGTGCATGCGACTTGACCTCCCAGAGCATCTGTTACCTCTTCACTAAAGAAGACACTATCTCCCTCACAAAGTAGACCAGTTATGCATACATACATTTTTCCATTCAGCAGTTATTTACTAAGACATTGCCTGCAATGTCTCAGGCTCTGGGACATAACAGAATAAAATATACAGGGAACTTACATTCTAGTCGGGAAAGACAGACAATAAACATGAGTAGAATACATGGAAATCCCACAATTCAACTCTTAAATGCCCATCAGAAACACACGTGTGCACCAAAAGATACCTGCTATTGTACAGAGCAGCACTATTTGTAATAGCCCCAAACTGGATGCAACCCAAATGTCCATCAATAGTTGAATGAGACAAATTGTGGTCTATCCACACAATAGAATATTATTCAGCCATTAAAAGTACAGAACTACTGATATATGCTACAATAGAGGAAAGTGTGTAAACATTCTAAGTGATAGAAGTCATTCACGAAAGACCATGCTATATATATTTATATGGAATGTTCAGAACAGGCAAATCTATAGAGACAGAAAATAGATTGGTGGTTACTTAGGGCTAGGATGTTGGTGAGGACTACATCCCAGGACAAGAGGGAGTGACTGCTATGAGTAAAGAGTGTCTTTTAGGGGTGATAAAAACGTTTAAAATTGATCGTGGTTATGGTTGCACAACTCTGTCTATATAGTGAAAAACCTTGAAATTGTACAATTTAAATTGATGAATTGTGTGATATGTGATTATATCTCAATAAAGCTGGGTATATGGATATATAATATATATCCTATATATTGTATATCAGATGGTGATAAGTACTATGGAGAAATATAAAGTAGGAAGGGAAGATAAGAAGACTGGGGTTGAAGGTTGAAATTTTAAATATATCATGGTAAGGCTCACTGAGAAGGTGATGTGTGAACAAAGACATTCTGAAGGAGCCGAGGGAATCAGGTGGATATGTAGGCAGAGAGCTTTCCAGGACCTCAGTTTGGATCTGGGCTCTATCACTGCCCATATGTATGACTTTGGATGAGTTACTTAATGGCCCCATGCCTCAATTTCTTTATCTGAAAAGAGTTGTTTCTATTGTCTATTAAAATGACCAATAATACATATTTCAAAAGGTTATTATATGAATTAATTTTTACAAAGAAAGTAAAGCACTTAGAACAGTACACTGGCACTAAATAAAATGTTTTATAGTTATTTTTATTAGCTCTTACTGCAAGCACAAAAGCCCTTGTGTTCTAAATGGAAGCATATCTGGAATGTCAATTGAAGTAAGGAGACCAGGTGAGGCTGGTACGGAATACCGAGCAACAGAGAAGATGGTAGGAAATGGGGAGAGAGCTTGCGACATTTTCTCTGTGAGATGGGAAATCATTTGGCAGGTTTTGAAACGAGGAAAGACACTATCTGATTCATGTTTAACACCATCACTTTGGCTCCTGTGTTGAAAACACAGAGGGGACAAGGATGCCTTCAAGGAAAGCAGCTCTGAGCTGTTGTAGTAATTCAGATGAGAGATGGTGGTAGTGGTGAGAAGTGGTCGGATTCCGATTCTACTTTGAAGATAGAGACAAGCTCTGTTGAGAGGTTGGATATTGGGTAGACAGAAAGAGACTGGTTTTGACCTGAGCAATTATCAGAATTCAGGTTACATTGTGATGAGGAAAGTGTGAAAGGGAGCTTTTTATTTTTTATTTTTTGATTTTTGGCAGAGAGTAGTGGTAGGTATGGGGTGGGTGGAAATCAACCTTTCGATTTTGGACATGATAAACTTGAAATGCCTATTACGCATCCAAGTGGAGTGGTGTTTATGGGAGAGGGTTGGCTAAGACGATTATCTGTTCTTTCACAAATATTTATTGAAAACCTACCATGTGCCAGGTCCTATTCTAAGTCTTATTCTAGGCTCTGGAGATCCTTGTGAGAATACCCACAGAGCTCTTTATGACCTCACCTTCTAGTGGTGAGAAAGGTCATAAACAAGTCAGCAATCAAGCGCAATAATGTATGTAAAGTCTTTAGCTCTCCAGATGGGGCACAATGTACAATTGCTATTGTTGTTTTTAATATTTGGAATACTGCAAGCTCTAAAAAATGGGGCTTGCGATCTAGGAACGCCTCTTTCGAGCCAAGTATTCCCGCCCCAATGCAGGCCAGATTTTTAGTGCCGCGGAATGGCAGCATTGCGCAGGCGTAGCTTCAGTCTGGCGTCCTAGGAGACGGACTTGGAAAGGCTCGCGCAGGCGTGATTCAAGAGGCCGAGGAAGCCTGAGGCCCGGGGATAGGGCGGGGCGAGCTCGTAGCGCGCCTGCGCACAGCGCGCTCTCGCCCGAGGAGCCGCAGTCTCGGGGGCGACAAGGTAGTGTTTCGGTAATCTCCCGCCAGCTTCTCCCGCGAACCCGGCGTGGTTGGCCTGCACCATAGGCGGAGACGTCCGCCGGGCACAGAAGGAGCCACGATGCCGGTGAGAAGAGTCGTTCAGCCGCTGTGGTTACTCGTCTCGGCGGCCTGGCCCGGGGGCGCGGCCGTTGCTATGGAGGCGCGGAGCAGGCGGGCGGCTGGGGCGGGGCGGGGCAGGGCAGGGCAGGGCTGGGCCTGCGGTCCGGGCGGTTGGGGAGCCTGGCTGATGGGCCCAGGACCCGCGGCAGTCCAGCCGGAGCTGGGAGCGGCCGGTGGCAGGCCCTGCCTCCTTCGACGCTGCTGCATCCCGCAGGGCCTGCGCTCCTTGACATAAAGGCGCTGTGCCAGAGAGGATGCGCTCTCGTTCCCAGCCTTGCCCGCTGGGTTGGGCGTCAGGGAGGGGCCGCAGAGAGTCGGCTTTGGATGTTCCGCACCGGGTAGGGTCTCTCCACAGCGGAGGCAGGCTCCCGAAGACAGCAGAGCCTGTCCCTACTTCAAGCCCCTGATTTAGGCTGTCACTTCTGTTGTGGCGCTCTAGCTTACAGTGCAAGGATGTAACCCATAGGTGTCTTTGTGTGCTAAGGGGTAGGAGTGGGTGGTGGTATGTTTGTCTTGCGGGATTTCACAGATTTTTATTGTGTACTTAGTAAGGGAGCGTCGTAAATCCAGTGTAGAGTCAATGGAGAACGCTTGAGCCGATGCCGGTTATTTGCTAATTATGAGGCCTCCGACAATTATTTAATCTTTCCGGGCCCTTAGTTTCCACATAATTAGATTTTCCTCAAGGTGTTGTTATCAGGATGAAATAAAATAACTGCTCAAGAGAACCGAAGGACAGTGCATGACATTTATTATTAAATGCCCAATATTTCTTTCGTGTTGCTTTCAAGTTATTTATCAATTCATTCAACAAATATTGGGCACCAACCACACGTTAGGCACTGGAGATACAATACTAAGCAAAACCAGCCTGGTTCTTGAACTTGGGAAGAGAGAAGCTTGCCTTCTTGGGCAGAGGTGAAAAACCATACATGTTTACAGAGATGAAACACTTAACATTAATTAACGAAGTGAATGGGTGGTATACAATATAGTAAATTCTGGTGAACTGTAAAGTGTTGCTATGTAGGAATGCTGGCCTACAGATGTCAGATCATCCATTTTTTCAAGACAATCTGGAAATTGTTATTTGTATGAAACGTTTCAATTTTTAATTTTAGCAACTAATTCACAAGATTTTTAAATACTATGAGCCTAACAAAAGACATCTGTAGGCTGAATTCAGCCCCTTGACTACCTGTTCGCAACCTGTGGTGCAGATAGAAACATTAAATAACGAGCTATCAAAGTGGAATTGCAACCAGATGTAGGAGAGAGATGAGCGCTCTCGGCCTATACAGGCATACCTCGTTTTATTGCGCTTCACAGATGTTTCACTTTTTACAAATTGAAGGCAAGATCCTTCAACAGCAGAAAGATTACAACTTGCTTTATTGCTGCGGTCTGCAACCAATCCTGCAGTATCTCTGAGGTCTGCCTGTACAAGGATTTGACCTGGTCGGGGAAGTCTGCCCAGATGAAGTGGCTCATGAGCTGAAATCTGCAGTATAAGTGAAGAGAGGAGTGGGGAATGTTCTAGACAGAAGGAACAGCACATAAAAAGACCTGTGGTGAGAAGGAGCCTGGTGACAGGCAAAGGCCTAAAAGAAAGCTAGTATGGTAAGAAAGCCAAGCAGAGTAATCTGTGAAATAAGGTTACTTATTACTGTGAAGTAGACATGATCCAGAGCCAGATTTTAAGGCACTCTAAGGATTTTGATTTTTAGCCTCAGATCTGTGAGAAACCATTGAAGAGTTTTCAGTAAGGGAGCAGCACAATTACATTTACATTGAAGCTGACTGCCATGTAGAAAGCAGACTGTAGAGGAACTTAATTAGATGCAGCATACTTAGGAGTCTCTTGTAATCCAAGGCGAGATAATGGTGACCTAGCAGAGTGGTGAAAGTACAGGTGGAGAGAAGTGTATTTTATCGATGTAATCTGTCCTTGTCAATGACAGTGGCTTGTAGTTGTTTCTCTAATGCTTAGAAGAATATCTGAAATAGTGGGAATTTAACAAGTATCTGTTAAACTAAACCGTTGAACTTCACTTCGATAATAGGGTGGTAGTTTCACATAGATTCTTAATCATAAAATTTCAGAAATTGAAACTTTACATATACAAATATTCATACAGTTAGAGTCATAATAAAACATTTTTCTCTGCTGTTGGACTTTCTTTTGTCAGTTATTGTCTTCTATAAAGAAGATAGACTATTTATTGATATATGATAAACATTTTACTAATTCATTATAGAAAATAAAACTAAGTCTCGGGAACATAGGACCTATTATAATATTCTTGATTAAAGTTGCTAACCATGTTCACATGTTTTCTACGGGTAGGAAACGGGAAGTCGGGGACTTCTGTGCAGAATGACAGTCTATAATACACTGTTCATCTTCTGCTTGACTAGCATTTACTATAAATGTAAATTAGATATTCTCTTCTCTCATTTGTATTGTAAAAGAAACGTTTTCTGTTTATATCTTCTAGTAAGCTTTTTCTATATATCTTTAAGATCTTTAATTGCATTTAACAAATATTTATGGAGCACTTAATATGTGCAAGGCACTGAGAAGGCAAAGTAGCCTTTTTTAAATTTTAAATTTAATCTGTTGAAGGTAACAGTAAATGTTCTTTTCACTATTTGTAAATATTTTCTCCACCAGATCAACAAATCAGAGAAGCCAGAAAGCTGTGATAATGTGAAGGTGGTGGTTAGGTGTCGTCCTCTCAATGAGAGAGAGAAATCAATGTGCTACAAACAAGCTGTCAGTGTGGATGAGATGAGGGGAACTATCACTGTACATAAGACTGATTCTTCCAATGAACCTCCAAAGACATTTACTTTTGATACTGTTTTTGGACCAGAGAGTAAACAACTTGATGTTTATAACTTAACTGCAAGACCTATTATTGATTCTGTTCTTGAAGGCTACAATGGTGAGTACTTTATATAGTTCACTTTTTTAAAATAACTTTATCGAGGTATTATTAATACCCTATAAATCCATCCATTGTAATACAGTTTGATGAATTGTAGTAAATACATACAGTTGTGAAACCATCACCACAATCCAGTTTTATCACCCTCAGAAGTTCCCTTGTATCCATTTGCAGTCCCGCCCCGAGGCATCCATTGACCTACTTTCTGTCTATAGTTTTACCTTTCACCGAAGTTTCATGTGAATCAAATCATATACTATTTTGACTTTTTTTACCTGTTTTCTTTTATTCAGCATGATGTTTTTTAAAGGTCATCCATGTTGTTGCATGTATCAGTGGTTCCTTTTTATTTTGAGTTGTACTTCATCGTAGACCACTTTTTATGATCTTTGATGGAAATCTGGTTGTTCCAGTTTTTTGTCTATTATAAATAATGCTGCTATAAACATTCTTTTATAAGTCTTTGTGCAGGTACATTTTAAAGTTTCTCTTGGGTAGATACGTAGGAGTGGAATTGCTGGATCACATGGTTAATGTATATTTTTATCTTTTGAAGAAACTGCCAAACTTATACAAAGATGACTGTGCTACTGTTTTTCCCCCTGCAGCCAGAACAGTATGAGGGTTCCAGTTTCTGCACATTCTTGCCAACATTTAGATTGACAGTCTTTTTAATTATAGCCATTCTAGAGGATCTGTAGTGGTATCTCATTGTTTTAGCTTGTATTTTTCCAATGACTAACAATGTTGAGCATCTACTGGTGTACATACAGTTGTAGGGGTGGGGGCACCAACCTCCCATGCAGTTGAAAATCTGTATATAACTACCGCTTATTAGCCATTTATGTATCTTTTTTTGTAAAATCTCTTAAAATATTTTACCCATTTTAAAATTTGATTGCCTGTCTTATTATTGAGTCCTGTTCTTTGTAGATTCTGGATTCAAAACCTTGACCAGATAAATGATTTGAAAATATTTTCTCCTAGTCTGTGGCTTTTTATTTTCTTAATGATGTTTTTTGAAGCAAACAAGTTTTAAATTTTGATTAAGTCCAATTTATCAATTTTTTCTTTTATCATCTTTCTTTTGATGACATAGCTAAGAAATTTTTGCCAAACCAAAGACCACAAACATTTTACCTTATGCTTTTATCTAGGAGTTGTAAACATTTTAGGTCTTACGTTTAGGTCTGGGATCCATTTGAGTTAATTTTTATATGTGGTATGAAGTAAGAGTCTAAGTTCTTTTTCTTTCATTTTTTTTTCTCTTTCTTATATATGGATATCTGTTGTTCCAGCACTATTTGTTGAGAAGACTATCCTTTCCCTATCGAATTAACTTGACACTTTTGTTAAAAATCAACGGATTGTCTATTCTATTCCATGTCTGTCCTGTTTTGATTACTGTAGCTTTACATATGTTTTGAAATTAGGTAGTATACATTTTCTAAATTTGTTATTCTTCAAAATCATTTTGGCTTTTCTAGGTCCTTTGCATTTTTCATATAAATTTTAGGATCACCTGGTCAATTTTCACACAAAAAAACCCTACTGGGATTTTATTATTCTAACAACATTGAGTCTTCGGATCCATGAACATAATCTATGGCAAAAAAGATTAAAAAAAAAAAAAAGAAAGAAAAATCAGTAAAGGGAAAAGGCACATGGGGCGAAGTCTGGCGGAAACGAGAAATAAGCTTCTAAGAGTCCACTAGTGGGTACACAGCATGCACTTAATTCGTCTAGCATTGAGTGTGACAGTACTTGGGAAATGTTATCTGTCAGGAAAGCTCTGTAGCGACTCAGCGTCCAGGGTTTATTGGTGGCTACTCATGTAGGCACCCTGGGCCTTGCACGTGCCAAGATCCCAGGCTCTCAGAAGAATGAAAGCAGGAGTTTAGCATAAACCACCCTGTTTATACACACAGTTTGGGCATAGTGAGCCACCCTTATCAGAGATTGGTGGGCACCCTCCCTAAATCCAGCTAAATCCCCAGTTGCCAACCAAAGGCCAACCTTGAAAGCAGGCTTTTCAAAGGATAGCAGTCTCAGATCTGCTGTTAGCTCTTTTCTGCGTAGTAGCATATAGTTGGTCTTATGTATTTAAAAATATCTAATCTTGCTATCTTTGCTTAATAATTGGGGTATCGAAGCCATAGTTAATGTGATTATATGGTTAGGTAGAAATCTATCATCTTGCTATTTTTTTCTCTTTGTCCCATTTGTACTTGTCTTTTTCCTCTTTTTATGTCTTTTTTTGGATTAATCAAGTATTTTTATTTTTATTATTCCATTCTGTCTTCTCTCTTGGCTTAAAGCAATACATCGTTGTGCTATTTTAGTTATTTTCCAGCTCCTGTTGGTTCTAGCTGCTAAGTATCTCTGAAATCTTCTCACCTTTCTCATTCCCTTTTGTTGTCAGCACCAACTCACTTGGCCAGCCAGCCCTCCAGCTGGTTTCTTCACAGCTCCCCGTGCTTTCTTCCAATTCTTCATGTACAGTATAGCCATAGTGACCATGATGTCACTCCTTTGACCAGAAAATCATTCTGTGGCTTCACTTTGCTTTTAGGATAAGCTCCAAAAGCCTCAGTGTGGTCTTCGTGGCCATGTGTGATTAGGTCCCTGCCAGTTTCGTTAACTCTGTCTGCAGGCACCTTCCTTTTCCATCTGTTTCTTCCATTCTGATCTCATTTCATTTCCTCAAAATCCCCATTCTCTTTGTTGCCTCTTGCTGTCCACTCTGATCCTAATTCTTACTCATATTTCAGATTGTGTCTTAGACCTGACCTTTACCAAAAAGCTTTCTCTGACCTCCTCTCCTTTCTTCCTTCCTAGATGATGTCCCTTACTCTCATCTAGAACTCTGTTTCTTATTCCCAACACGCCTTCTGCTTATAATTATTCAACCAGTATCTCTTCCCCAAGATTACACACGTGCACACATCATAAGATTAAGGATTGTGTTTGTCTTGTTTGTCACTGTGTTCCTGGTGTCTAGCACAATGCCAGCCTCAGGTGTGTGGTAAATATTTGTTGAATGAATGGATTTAGCCATTTAGAAAGTTTAAATTGTAATTACCTATAATGTTTTATCATCTTTTTTGCTTTTTTGTTAACTCCCCTTATTCCTTACAGCAGTTACTTAAATTTTTTTCAAACAATGCACCTACTTTAGAATTAAGAAAATAACTACTATTTACTCCACTAGGCATCGTGTTGGTCACTTGAAGTAAATTGTTTCATTTGGTTCTTACTATTAATGTGGGGTAGTTATTCTTACCCACATTTTACCATTGAGGAGATGGTCTCTGGGAAGATACTTATCCAGGGTCAAGTGGCTAAAAAGTGAAAATATGTAGATTCACTCTGAGATCTTTCTGCTCTAGAAATTGTATTATTTTGCTGTCATTTTACTGCCTTCTCTAATTTAATGTCTACATTAAGTAATATACACATTACAAGAAATGTTTTAAAGTTATTTACAATGTAAGATTTTACATTTAGGGTTTGGGATACTTTTTATTAATCATTAAGAATATCTCATTGACTTTAGTGTTTTAACAGTACTTTGCTCATGTGGCACAGAGTACTTATTACAATTGTTGATAATAAAGGTGAAATTTTTACTAGAATAAATTTTAAATTCAGGGAAGAAATTGCATCATAGCGTCAAGGGAATTAATTTTAAGAGCATTAAGTTCTATATCATTAGACTCTAAAAAGTCATTGATTTTCTTCATCGTTTTCAGGGACTATTTTTGCATATGGACAAACTGGTACAGGCAAAACTTTTACCATGGAAGGTGTTCGAGCTGTTCCTGAACTTAGAGGAATCATTCCAAATTCATTTGCTCACATATTTGGTCATATTGCAAAAGCAGAGGGTGATACAAGGTAAAAGAATTCTTTTATTTTCCAGTATTGATAAGTACAAACAGAAGCAAGGCAAATAGGTACAAATTTTATAAACAAATTTTAAAACTTCTTATGAATATTTTGCTGTTTTTTATGTTTTTAAAAATTATGTTTTATTTATAGATTTTTGGTTCGAGTGTCTTATTTGGAAATATATAATGAAGAAGTTCGTGACCTTTTGGGCAAGGACCAGACACAGAGATTAGAGGTAAAGTAATTGAAATTGGAGTACTTCCTAAAACAATAGAATGTTTACTAAGTTAAGGTCCTTTTTGTACAAAAGTATTTTTAAGATTTTACTTTTTTTGGATTAGCTAGTTTCACGTGATTCAAAATAAAAATATTGTAAAAATTTATGCATTGAAGTCTTGTTCTTCCCCCATCTGCCCCATTTCTCCCTACCCTAAGATCATCACTTTCAATATCCTTTCAGTGTTTATTTATATAAATACAAATACAATCTTAGTTTACTCCAAAAGTAGCATACTATGTGTATATGTATAGATCTGCATGTAGATTCACATGCAGTTACAAGAAATAATACAGAGAGATTACCCTTTACACAGATGCACATTTACACAATTTTCTCCAATGGTAACATTTTACAAAGTTACAGTACAGGATTACAACCATGATATTGATATTAATACAATCTACAGATCTTATTCAAATGCCCCCAGTTTTCCTTGTACTCTTTTGTGTTCTGTACTATTTCATCACATGTGTAGATTGGTTTATACATTATCACGTCAAGGTACCAGGCAGTTCCATCACCGAGATGCCTTTCATAACCACATCCACCTCTCCCTCTGTCCCCATCCCTAACAACCCCTAATATGCTTTCTAATCTAAAATTTTGTCATTTTAAAAATGTTATATAAATATAACCATACAATATATAACCTTTTGAGATTAGTTTTTTTTCACTTGGCATAACTCCCTGGAGATTCCAAGTTCTTGCATATATTAATAGTTCATTCTTTTTTATTGCTGAATAGTATTGCATGGTGTGTGTGTGTGTGTGTGTGTAGGTATGTATATATGTATCACAGTTTGTTTATCCATTCACCTGTTGAAGGATATCTAGGCTGTTTACAGTTTTTGGCTGTTATGAATAAAGCAACTATGACTATTCATACACAAATTTTATCAAATGTAAGTGCTCATTCTCTGGTATGAATGTCCAAGAGTACTCCAGAATTTATTTTAAGTAAGAAATTTTTAAACTTACAAAAATATAAGTATTAAGACTAATCACAAATGTAGTCACAAATACTAGTATTTTCAATCTTTTACCTGAAGAAACTTTCTGAAAAATTCTAGTTTTTAGGTAATAGGTTGTCATCAGAGACTACTTTCATCATGCATCTTAGAAAAAGAAAATGTAAACTTCTATGTATAAATATCAGATAATCACAAAATTTGTGAATTAGTTAGCTCCTCTATGTAGTTTGTTGATCCATTTTGAGTTAATTTTTATATTTGTAAGTGGCATGGACTGACTTTATTCTTTTGCATGTGTATATCCAGTTGTCTCAGCACCATTTATTGAAAAGACTTTTTGCCCCATTGCATTTTACTTTTTTCACTGGACAATGGGTTGTGGCCATCTTTCCACATCAGTAGAGAGAAAGCTTCCTCATTGTTTTTCCTTTTGTCTTTTCTAAAGCTGCATAATATCCTCTGAGGATACATTTTTGAAGCGGGACTGCTGAGTCAGATGGTGAATAATTAGTAAATATTGCCAAATATTTTAATATTTTAGGAAATGAGACAGAATGATTAACCTAATATTAACCTAATATTAAAATATTAATATTGGAATTTTCATTGGAATTGTCAGTAAAATAATTAGAGAATCATGTATGTAGATTAACAGTAGCCACCATTGTAGAATGGTGTGGGATACATATAAAGTAACAGCAGTCACTGTTACTAAGCTCTTACAATGTGGTAGTAGGCGTTTAGTACAGTAAATCGTTGCAGTAGTACATACTTTATTTCATTTAATCTTCTCAGTTCAATTTTGTTGGTGTGAAAATGGAAGCCTAGGGAGTTTCCTGACTTGCTCAAGGTCATGTAGGAGGTGAATGGTGGTATCATCTGGGATGAAGAGGGTGGTTTCTGAGGTCCTACCATTTTAGCTTGAATTCTGGCTCTGATCTCTTGAGCAAGTTACTTCACCTCTATTATCCTTACTTTTGCCACATGAAAATGGAAATAATAATAGTGTCTACTTCATAGGATTATTGCCAACATTAACAAATTAATACAAATATTTAAATTGATGCTTGACATATAATAAAGTATTTAATAAATGTTAGCTATTTCCTTTTTAACTGTACTAAATAAATCGAGCTTTTGGAACAGTATATTACAGGCTTAGGGATTATTTATGTTTGTTGGATTTTAATGAAAGCTTATTCTATAATGATAATGTGTACATAGCAAATGTAAAGACAAGTTTCCTTTTTGCTACTTGTCATCTTTAGTTTTTATGGATACTTTGTTCGTTCTGTGCTTTTATCTTTTAAAAGTATTGTTTTATTGCATAAATTATTAAAATAATAATTCTTTGGAGAGAACATTTCTATTTTTATACCAATACTTATAGATCAGATATATTCTCAGGAACAGTCTTTTTAATGGTTCTTAACTGTGTTAGACCAAGTGCCCATTTTTTTTGTAACATATCTTGTAATTCCCCTTTGTCTAACCTAAAATAAAATTCATAGATGATAAAATATACCTACACATATCATTTAAAAAATATCAATATACTGCCCAATTGTAATATAAAAGAGAATAAAAGTACTTAAAAGAAATAAAATCCTAGTATTTCAATATATAAAGTGCTTGACTATGACCACATTCAATGACATAATGCAGTAAGAGACAATCATCATCACTGCAATGGCTACAAATGCAGATTGTTACAGGTATGTTGCATCAGTGATCTAAATACCTTGATTGGTGTTATTGTCATTGACATGGTCTTTTAAAACAGTGACTAGCTCTTGGTAGAATTCTGAGCAAAATAAAGTTGTTCTTTTCTCAGTTCTGCATTCCTATATTATTATCGTCATGGAAAAGCACTTTGTCTTTATATGTAAAATAGAGTTAGAGTCTAGACTCAGATAATTATAAATCATTTTTCACCCATGTGAATATTTGGTTGGACATTCAAAATTGCATGGGACAGTTCTTCACTGATTGAAACCCTCTTGTCCATTGCAGGATGCTTCCTACCCCTGACCCCTGCTTACGAATACTAATAGTAGCATCTTCAATTGAACCAGAAACCCCCACAACTTTCTAAAACATTCTAGGTAGGGGAGTAACTGCCCTCATTGAGATTCATTGTTCTAGTGTTATAAACTGTATTTGTTACATAAATTTAATTTCTATGTTTTTATGAGAAAAGTTATTAGATAGCAATTTTTTTTTAAAACTGCCAAATTTGGAATCACTCAGTTTTTTCATCTTTCATATCTAATCAGTTCATCTACACTTAATTAATTGAATTTTGAATTACGATCATATTGTGATTGAGAACAACCTAGGCTTTGCGGACTGATGCCAGTTTGGAGAATGTTTGTTTCCAGTCAGCAGCAAGATGAGCACAGGAAGCGAGAGTAAATGCTTAAAAACTTTTATAGCGATTGGTCATTGCCATGGCATCCAAGTGCATGATTTTTGTATTTTTCAGAAATAGCAGTTTGCCAGAATAGAAATATACAAATTGTTCTTTACCATGCATATTCTTAGAAGCGGTGAAATAGACCAATAATTTTCAAACCTCATAACAGGTTTAAAGCATTTAAACACTTTGATCAAACCAGACCTTATGTGGAAGCACAACGTGTAAAGTACATGAAAGTGAAACTCTCTTTAGAACTTGTCTGGGCCTGAAGACCCCCAGACTCCTACAATGTCCCCCTCAGTGCTACCACAGACCCTCTAGCACTCTGAGAGCAGTTTGAAACCCACTGGTTTATAGGGACTAACACACACTTTTACTAATGATAAAATTAGAGCTTCATTTATATCTTATTATAGAAAAGTAATTTTGGGGGGGGGTAATTTTTCCTAAGGTATAAATACATCTTATAAATTTTTTATAAAAGAGACCTTCCCCTTTCCCCTTGCAACCTCAACTAGGTCTAAAATCTACACCTGGAATTTGGAGTGTTTGCCTTTGTGACTTTTGTCTTTGGGATTGCTCTTTAAACTTTTGTTTGTCATCTTCGTGAGGTCTTACTACCTATGGAATGACTCTCCCCACTGGCTTCCACAGGCCTCTGCCTGTTTCACTTTATTGTGTTTATTTGTGGAGGTGACCTCTAGGGCTTTCCAAAATGAGTTTTGTATTTCTAACACTGTATGTATTTTATATAAATCTATCTAAATATAGCTTTCAAATTTGGTAAAAGATCTCATAAGGTTACTCACAGAAAGGTAACATTTTTACATGGATGCCATAGATCTGAGTATTTCACTCAACTGTTTGAAACCCTCTAGCAGCTTCAAATTGCTGTTAAGACAATAACACCTTAATCTTCTCTCTGCCTACCTCTGAGGCCAGATATCTCACCCATTTCCTCCCTGCTTCCTACTCTTTCCAGCCACCATGCCTTTGTTTGTTTATTTTTTCCAAGTGCCTAGTTTTTCCCCATTTCAGGATCCTTGCATATACTCTTTTCCTACTACACCAACCCAGACTGGCTACCTGATATTTTTTCAAGTCTTAGCGTAAACATCATCCTGGGGAAACTTATCTCTACCTCATCAGCTTAAGTCTGTCTGTAATGTAGTGTTATACTGTCCTGTGTTTTTGTAAACTCGTGGAATTATCACGATTACAATAATTTTTATATGTAATTATTCATCTGCATGTTCTCCTTTTAGATTTTCATCTCCAAGTATAGCAACTATGTCTGCCTTGTTTTATCACTGTATATTCGCTGTCTAGCAGAGTGTCTGTCACATAGTAGATGTTCCGGAAAGAATTGTGTTCAATAAACAACACATAGTAGATATTCAATAAATAGCTGTGGAAGAATTATGGATATATGTGTAAAGTCTTATGATCTTTTTTTTTTAGGTTAAAGAAAGACCTGATGTGGGAGTCTATATCAAAGATTTATCAGCTTATGTGGTAAATAATGCTGATGATATGGATAGAATTATGACACTAGGCCACAAAAATCGTAAGTGTAATATACAGTTGTGAGTAAACATTTATGTGTTGAGTAGGATGGTTTAGAAGCAAAACTTGTGTGGCACTTTGTCCCATAAAGACTGGATTTTTAGGTTTCTTGAAAACCCTTCCTTTCTGATTATTTACTAGGTGGAGAGATTATATGGTTGAAAGATATCACAGATTGCTTTCCATGCTGACCAAAATTTTGTTTCTTAGTAATAGTGCTGTATCTTTGAAAATCTTATATAGCTGTCCCTCGTTTGCTATAATATTTGATACATTTATTGAGCTTTTATTATGTGGCAAGTGCTTGTACTCAGTGCTTTATAAGAGTGATTTCTTTTAATCCTCACAACGGATTATGACAGTATTAAATTCCTATTTTATGATCGAGGAAACCAAGAATTTAAATAACTTGTCCAAGGTTATATACTACTTAATAAGTGGTAGAGTGAGTATTTTAACGTAGGCCATGAATCAACATAACCAGGCACTATAACTGCCTCCCTTTTGTTGACAAGAGAAGCAAAACAATTAAATGAAATGGCATTCTTCTTAGTAACTGTTTCAGGTTTTGTCTAAAGAATACAGAACTTCAGCAATATTTAGTACACACATGCCCCAGGTCTAGTACAAGATAAAAGGTAAAAGATAACATAGAAAGTAAACAGTTTTTTAAAGTTTTTATGACTAGATTATAAATTAAGCAAACTCAGGAAATTAAACAATTTTTAAAAATTGATTGCATTCTTATAAACCACAAAGAAGACCAAATTTCAACAGGAAAATGAGTAAAAAAAGATATGTATGAATATGTTATTCACAGAACTATGAACAGCAATAAACATATGAAAGGATATTCAACTTCACAATCAGGAAAATTCATATTAAAAAAACAGTGAGGGATAATATTACCCATTGGTTTGGATGAGAGGACATCCACGTTGGTGAGGCTGTGAAGAAATGCACACTGGTGTTGGGAATGGAAAGTGGTACAGCCTTTTTGAAGGGCAGCGTGTAACAGTATCTGTTGAAATTTTAAAACTGCATTCCTTCTGACCTAGTGTTTCTAATTCTAGATATATATTCTAGAAAAATACTTTGAAGTGTAAACAAAAAAATGCCTAAATGAAACATTATTCATAATAGCAAAAAGTTTGACACAACCTAAATATAAATAAAACATTGTTTATATAAATTATGGTACAGAAATACTAGGGACTCTAATGAAGCTCTGAAAAAAACAGTGAGTTAAATCTACATGTAGAGGCCAGAAAGATTTTTAAGATATATCAATAAATGAAAAGAAAGCAAATCACAGTACGACATCATCCCATTGATTTATGTGTAAAAAGCCAAATTATTAAACTATGTATTTGGGCATTGTGTGTTTGTATCCACGTGCATGTATGTGAAATATAAGATGAAAGGACATTTAATAGTCGTTACCTTTAGGGAAGGGGAAGTAAGATTGGGGAAAAAGAGATGTAGGGAGCTTAATTTTTTTTTTTATGTATTTAAAAATTTTTTATACTGGAAATGTTCTTGTATCACTTATTTAATTGAAAAAAAATTTAACATAAGATTCCGTTCACAGCAGTGACTCAGAACCTCCCATCAACTACCTGAGAATTAATTTAACTTGGTATGTGACATTTTTCAAGGAAAACTAAATAATTCTAATGAGAGAAATAAAATGAAACAAAGATAAAGGGATTTGAAAACCTAAGATAGAGAGGAAAATAATTTTAATTAATAAAGAGATTGAGTCCAAGAATTAAACATTTAGTACAAATATTCAAGTAGAAAAGTTCCAACATAAAAACACAAACTTTATCATATTGAAATATAGTAAAATATCAAGAGTAGAATAGTGGAGGGGAGAAATGTGACAATAAAAGTTGTTATACTAAATAGATGAAAAATGGATACAAATATAAAATTACCCATTTTGTACAGGTGGTCATAGTATAGAAATAGTTAATTTTACACTTAAGAAAATAAGTTATCTCAAGAACAAATACTCAGCCTGCCTAGCAACTAAAGTGCAAATTTAAACTAGTTAGGTACATTTCATTGTGGGCATCATTGTAAATTGGTTAATATTTATTCAGAGCAAGTGTTTTTCAGCCTTTAAACCATAATCCTTTTAAAATCATTTTTTTGAATAGGTAATCCATACATATAGTATAAAATTCAAAAGGCACGAAAGTGTACATTGAAAACAAATCTTTTTCCTGCCCTTGTGTCGTCTCAGTCACCGAGTGCCCATCCCTGGTGGCAACCTCTGTTAGTTTCTGATGTGCCCCTTTGTTATGTGTATGTTTAGAGAGTGCTTGTCCTCTTTCTTTATGAGTCAGATAATAGTATACTTATTCACTTGATAATATGATCTTAGAGATCATTTCACATTAACACGTACTAGTACGTATACAAGTATTTAAAAATAACTATATAATATTTCATCGAATGGATCTTATTTACCCAATCTTTTATTGATGGACTTTTGCGTTGTTTTTAATCTTGCTATTATGAGCAGTACTGCAATAAATATTCTGATATATACGTGAATTTATACACATGCATGCATACTAATGGGATAAAATTTTTCACACACTCTTGAAAAACATAAAAATTCAATTTTTTTCTTATTCCAAAATGAATATTTGACAAAAATTAAAGCTACGGGAGTGTTTTTCATTTTATTTCCATTATGTGATGTGTCGGTAGATCAGAGCATTGAGACTGCTTGATTGCTGCAAGCTGTTCTCTCCTAGGGATTGTAAAGTTCAATGTAGGTCACTTTTAACAGTATGTCTGTTGTATTTGTTTTCATAACCAGAAATACAGAAAAATCACAGTCATAAATAGCATGCTTTATATAGCAAAAACAAATTAGGTATTAAAATACTAAATATGATTTTCTTAAATTACATGTTCTTTCCCCCTCCAAATTGAAAGACACTGCTACAGTGTGGTTTGATAATTACATAGCTGTAAAACGATTTGACCTAGTAATTCCAGTTTGGAAAATAACATCTCATGGAAATAATCCTAAAGAGAAAGAAAGGTATGTGCTCAGAGATGCTCATATTGGTGTTCCTTATGAGAGTCTAAAATGGAAAATAATCAAATATCTCTCAGTAAGGGAAGAGCAAAATCAATCCTTAATAGTTTTTTATATTTTTGGAAAAAATTCCTAAGTCTATAATTTGACTTTAAAGCAAATAGAAAAACGTGTCACAAATTCTTGCATTTTCTTTCACTAATTTTTCATTTACCTTCCTTCATCAGGCTTTACTTTGTTAGTACAATTTACATTGTACTAACATCTGACTTTTAATTTAGCCGTATGCTAATAAAGAATACCCTTTTAATGTTTACATTGTAAAAGCAAAGCTCACGTAGAGAAGTTCTTCATGAATATGTAGTAGGAAGATAGTTTTGGCTGGGGAAAATTAACACAATACTTTTAAAGTGTTTCGGAATTTAAGAAAAAAAACCCATATATGCCTACTTTAAAAAACAAAACAGACCTTTTTGTTTACACAGTATAGTCATGTAAATTATTTATAAACACAAACAGTATATTTTGAATGGATGCTTTTGTTTTATAGAAATGTGGTTAGACTGTATATTCCTCTCTTAACTTTTTCCCCAGCCATATGTTATGGGTATCTTTCCAGGTCATACAGATCTACCTTTTTTTTTTTTTTTAAAGGACCAGTTAGTAATCCATAGTATGACTAGTCTACATTTGCTTAACCACTGTCACGTTGGTTGTTTCTGATGACTTGTTTTTGCAAACCATGCTGCACTGAATCTCCTTGCATCATCTAATGCACATATGCAAGTGTTTCTGTGGTTTAGAGTTCCAGAATATAATACTTTTTTTAGAGATAGCTGAAATAGCTATAATTTTTCAAATAATTTAACATCTATTTTTAAATGTAAATTAGTTTTTTTTTTTAGCTAGTAATAGTTGGGACAAAAATTAAGTATTTTGTCCTAAAATTACCTCTTTAATATGAGACACATTATAAATTCTTTTGTTGTCAACATAAATTGTCAGAAATTTCTAGTAATGGCTAAACAGGCCTCTGCTTTTATGGTTTAGCCGTGCCCTCTGGCTTTTGGTTGTGACAAAATTAAGTATTTTAAACCATTCTGGATATTTAATAATTTTTAAAGGCACTCTGTTGTTTTACTTAAGAATTTCCTTCCTATTCAAGGTTCCGTTGGCGCGACTAATATGAATGAACATAGTTCCCGTTCCCACGCCATCTTTACAATCACTATAGAATGTAGTGAAAAAGGTGTTGATGGTAACATGCACGTCAGGATGGGGAAGCTCCACCTTGTAGATCTTGCTGTAAGTAACAGGATACCACATAAGGAGCAACTCTTAACGATTTTTTTATCTTCTAAGTGAATAAAAATTCAAGCGAAAAGGTGTGATTTACATATGATTTTTAAGTTGTTCACTTGTGTATGTGTTTAGCTTAATTATGGACTATTTTGAATGTATACAAAAGTAGATAACCTAGTGTGATGATCTGCCTGCCATGTGACTGTCACCCAGCTTCAACAGTTACCAATTCACTGCCAGTCCCGATTCATCTCTACCCTCAGCCACTTTCCTTCCTGTATTATTTTGAAGTGAATTCCAGATATTATGTCAGATACTGTTGTTACTTTTTTTTAAGCTTTGCAAAGAATATCCTGTACTTTTTATTTTAGCTTTTTTTATGTCTCTCTTTTTTGCTAGGGTTCAGAAAGACAAGCAAAAACTGGGGCTACTGGGCAGCGCCTAAAGGAAGCTACTAAAATTAATCTTTCGCTTTCTACACTCGGTAATGTAATTTCTGCCTTGGTTGATGGAAAAAGCACTCATGTGCCCTATCGTAACTCTAAATTGACTCGTCTTCTTCAGGATTCCTTAGGAGGAAATTCAAAAACCATGATGGTAAGATATAATTGTTGCTGTAGTTATCAGACAAATTTAAGATTCCTGTTTATCCCAATGGTTGATATGTATAACATTTTTAAAAACTATTGATTATTTTACTTCATTTGATTCGTGGTTATTCTTCTTCTAGTACACCATGTGTACTAACCCTTATGGTGTTGTTTGGAAACCCACGTGATTATGCGCTCTTTTCCAAGAAGGCCAGTGGGGAAGTAGGCTTCAGAAATTCTTTTTGCTATCTTCGTAATGGTAGTATTAATTTCAACTATCTCAAGTGTTAAAGTGTTATGTTTTGTATTCTTAATTCAATAGTGTGCAAATATTGGGCCAGCAGATTACAATTATGATGAAACTATCAGTACATTACGGTATGCTAACCGTGCTAAGAATATTAAGAATAAAGCTAGAATTAATGAAGATCCAAAGGATGCTTTACTTCGTCAATTTCAGAAAGAAATAGAAGAACTGAAAAAAAAACTTGAAGAAGGTAACTTTTTTTCTAAGTATTGATCTTAATGTTGGCTAAAAATATGTTGCATAACCACTAAGTGTTCTCATAAAACCCACCTATTAAAAATTCCTCGAGCCTCTGACATTGATATTTAAAAGAATATTTTTGCTTAGTAACTTGATACTTACATACTTTAACATTTTCATATTAAGCTCAAGTAAAATTATGTTTGTGCATGTAATTTAAAAAATTCACTTAATGTAAACCTCCTTTTTAATTCCCATGACCTTTCATAGATTTTATATGACCACATGTTAAATAATGAATTTTTATTTGTCTATATGAAGAGACAAATAAGTATATGTGTTTTGGTGACTGTGACCAGAGTTCTCTGTGACAGATATCAATCAGTCACTATTGTTTGAAGTTAAAGCTATCACAGAATCATGGGTAAATCAGATTTACTTTAAGCAAAGCTTCATTACATGGCCTTGAAAATATGCTTTCATATTGAAATTTGAACATGAGATTCTCTTTTGGAAATCCTTTTCTAACAAGATGTTAGAAGGTTAGAAAGTTTGAAGACCTTGTTTATGATGGTGAGAACTTACCAGCCGTCACGAAATGTTGGGGTAACTCTTCATACCTTCATGCTAAGAACTCGTAGGCATAGGGCTCCTTTGCGTACTACGTAAACAGAGGGCTTTGAAACTCTTTTCAGTCTATCGGGAAACTGGTTAGATCAGATGTGAAATTCAGAGATGCCAGCATCTCAAACTTTTGGAGAAGGTTGTAATTCAGTAAACTCGAGTAAGATCGTTGAGCAAAAGCAGTAATAATTGAGCTGTCTCTTACATAATGAAATTTGGTGTTTCAAATGTGACCACTAGGTGGTATTTATAGTCAGTATGTTTTAAAGATTTAAAATTTCTTAAATTTGTTGATGTTGAGTTCATACCATTATCTTGCTGACTTCATTTTTTAAATATTTTTTATTGTGATAAAATATACACAACATAAATTTACCATTTTAACTATTTTTAAGTTTACAGTTCTGTGGCATTAAGTATGTGCATATTGATCTGCAACCATCATCATCTCCAGAACTTTTTAATCATCTACAAATGAAACTCAGTACCCATTAAACACCAACTCCCCATTCCCCACTCTCCTTCAGCTGTGATAACCACTTTTCTATCTTTTATCTCTATGAATTTATTCTAGGGACCTCATAAGTAAAATCATGCAATATGTATCCTTTTGTGTCTGGCTTATTTCACTTAGTATAAAATCCTCAAGGTTCATCCATATTGAAGCATGTGTCAGAATTTTCTTCCTTTTTAAAGCTGAATAATATTCTAATGTATGTGTATACTACATTTTTTTTTTTATCCATTCATTCATTGATGGACACTTGGGTTGCTTCTACCTTTTGACTGTTGTGAATAATGGTGTTACGAATGTGGGTGTACAAATACCTGTTCGAGTCCTTGCTTTCAGTTCTTTTGGATATAAACCCAGAAGTGGAATTGCTGGGTCAAATGGTAATGCTGACTTTATTTTTAAAACATTTCATTTTATTTATGCTCTTATGACATTTGTTTTTATAATACAGTTAACAGAATTTTATAACCTTATTAATAGAGTTTATCATATAAACAATAAAAAGGGTAGGCAAAAACATTAAAAGAACAATTTTTAAACTTTAATTTTGAAATAGTTTTACAGAAATCTTGCAAATATAGTATGGAGGGTTCCTGTGTATATCCATCACCTAGTTTCCACCAGTGTTAACATCTTACATAATCATAGTATAATTACTGAAACTAGGAAATTTGCATTGATACAAACTTATTAACTGATCTGCAGATCTTATTTAAATTTCAGCAGTTTTATCTCTAACACCCCTTTTCTCTAGTCCAGGATCCAATCTAGGATCACATATTGCATTTAGTTGTCATGTCTTTTTAGTCTCTTATGGTTTCCAATTCCTCAGCCTTTTTTGTCTTTTGTTATCTTACCACTTTTGAAGAGTCCTGGTCATATATTTATGGAATGTTCCTCAATTTGGGTTTGTCTGTAGTTCTCTCAATTATTCTGCAAGGTTTCTTCACTGTAAACCTACTATTTTTTCCTTTGTAATTAATATGTATCTTGTGGGGAGATACTTTGAGACTATACAAAGGTCCTGTTTCTCATCATACTTTCTCTCACTAATTCTAGCATCCGTCAAGGGTTCTTGGCCGCATCAGTGATTCTGTGGCATTTGCTCAGTGGTGACTTTTTCTTCCAATCGTTCCTTCTGATGTTTAAAGTTTGAAATTCTGTTGTATGGAAGAGCAGTCCCTTCTCCCCTACTTATTTATTCAGTTACTTATATATGTCATTATGGATCATTAATATTTATTTTAGTCTGTGGGTTATAATAAAGTAATATCATTATTTTATTGTTCAAAGTATTCCAGCTTTGGCCATTAGGAGCTCCTTCAGGGTTGTTCCTGTGTCCTGTAGAGTTGCTCCTGTAGTTTTTGTTTGTTCGTTTTGAGTACTTTCTTATTTTCTGGCACCACAGATGCTTTAGGTTCATTTTGTATGTTTTCTACCATAGCTTTAAAATCATTTATTTCTCCCTAGTTCCTTTCATTGGAGGATGGATGGTATTTAGAAACCAAGATTTGGGCATTAGGTCTGCTCATTGCTACTGAGGTGTCACTATTTCTGGGCCTAAAGAACAAAATATTTTTAATGAATTCCTTCTCCCAAGACTCTCTGATCTCCTTTATTTACAGGTTCAAATATTACCTAGTTGCGATTAGTGTATATTTTACTTTTTTCCCCCCAATACCTTTTGTTTTCTTAGACATTTCACATAGGGATAATGGTGTTTTTAAATAGCTACTTTGAAGGTAATATAGTACTCATCTGTATTAACATTAGTTTAATTATTCCCTTTTATTTGATTTTTTAAGTTCACATAATCTTTGTATAAATAAGCCCTTCTTCTTTTGAAATATTTCTTGTGATACAGTTCTAAAAGTGAGATCACTGTGTTAGATGACAGTTTTATGGCTCTTAAAAAATATACAGGTCAAACGAATTATTTAAATTTTTCTTTCTTTTTTTTTTTTTTAGGTGAGGCAACCCTTGGTTGACCTCACAGATTGCAAGGACCTTGTCAGCTTATAATCACTTATTTTTTGTTTTTTACACCTATAACACTTGATCTTCCTAGGTGGTCTCCCATCCAAGTACTAATCAGGTTCGACCCTGCTTAGCTTCTGAGATCAGACAGGATGAATTATTTAAAATCTTAAACAGAAAACTGGGGAGAAAATGCTCCCCAAAAGTGGTCACATTTTTAAAAGACTAAAATAATGATTCTAACATGTAATTTACATATATATATTTAGAACTATACTTAAACTATTCTTTGAAATTTAAATGAATTATGTTTAATTTCTTTTTAGGAACTTTCAAAATAAAGTCTCTGTGTACATCGTGTCTATTTCTGAGGTTAGCAAATCTGGTGTACTTGTCTAGGGATATTAATATAAGATTTGTTTAGGACAACAAGAACTTAATGAAGAAAATTGATATAGGCATTTCCTAAATAGCCAGTGACCTACCTGGTACAGAATAGTAATCATCGTATTAAATTTCTGTTCAAGGGGAAGAAATATCAGGCTCTGATATCAGTGGGTCAGAGGATGATGATGATGAAGAGGGTGAGGCTGGAGAAGATGGAGAGAAAAGGAAAAAAAGACGGGGTAAGTTCTTCTTAGTTCTAGAAATTAACTGGGATTGCTACTTAATGATGGTTCAACATTCCCAGGGCAGTTGAGTGCATGCCTTTTATTTTACCATTTTTAGTTATGATAGCAATTCAAATAGAGGAAGTATGCCATGTATCTGGTTAACTTCGCATTATGTTTTCCTTCTATATTGAGCTCCCATTTATAGTCGAATTAGAATATCATATGTTCTGGGTTTTTTTTTTTTATAATTTAGAATTGTTAAAATCTGTGGTAGTGAATATACCATTTAAAAATTTCATGTAGGGTTTTAATTTTATGTGGGACTCTCATCTGTGTTAGGAACCTAAACTTTTTAGGAAATGAAGATAATATGGATTTTTTCTCAAGCAGGATTAGGCTTTAGAAGTCAATGAATTTTTAAATAATAAATTTGTATAAGAATTCTATTTTTTAATTTAATTTTTTTCTTTATAAAATGGACTTTCATTCTCACCCTGTTATTAGGCATTTGTTGCCAAGTGTGGATTAAGACTATTTATTGTGATAAAGATGTAGATAACATGCAAAAGAGAGAGACATATTATAATGGCCTACATTTCAGATCTTTTTATCCTAAATATTTATTTCAGAACTCTCTTCCATTAACGTGGATCATTGTTTTCAAGCTGGTACATATTTTACTTGTCTTATTAAGATGATCTTGCTGAAAATAAACCCATTACCACTTGATCAAGAGTCCCAAATTTAAAAGCTATAAAGATTTTATAACTTCATAAGACAGGAAAAGCATGATTTAGAGCAAGCATTGGCAAAATATAGTCAGCTGGCCAAATCTAGCCTACCACCTGTTTTTTGTAAATAAAATGTTATTAAACAGCCATGCTCATTTGTTTGCGTATGGCCTATGGCTGGCTGTTTTCACATGAGACTGCATGGCTTGCAAAACCTAAGCACTTATTATCTGTACCTTTACAGAAAAAGTTTGCCAACCTCTGATTTAGAGAAATTGTTTTGTGTTCATACCTATTTTTTCACAGAGTAAACTATTCAAAGCTAAAGCAGATAATGGATTTGTTAAAAATAAAATTTTAAATAGAAAAAAATGCCATTGTTTCATATGTTAAAATATTTAATAGTAAGGTACCTTCTTTTCAGGCTTAGAAATTTTAAAATGTTCAGTGAGCTTTTCAAAGTTTTGTCACGAAACCTTAAAACATGCCTAATTACATCTGATAGTTCGATGTTTTAGAGGGAAACAAGTGAAACTGGAGACAAACCATCCTCTCTCTAATGAAGGGCAATTGATCATTTTAATTGTGCACAACTTTAAATTTTAAAACTCAGTTTCTTTAACCAACTGTCACCAAATGACTTATTATTTTATTCTCGTCATTCCAACCCTCTGAATTACTGTGTTTTAGGTGAAGAGTGGGATTTGCCCACAGTAGATGCTTAGAGAAGTACAGTTTCTAGTTCCCCTGGTTGGCTTTGTTGTTAGAGAATATTGGCTAGGCTACCAAGACTGGTTTTAAGGGAAAGTAAGTTTCAGTTCTTTAATACAAAGCTTGATTGTCCTTTAAAATTCTCTGAATTTTTCTCTGTGTATGTATTCCTTCTCTTGTTTCCTTTTTTCTTTGGTTCCCGTTGGGCTCATTTCTTTGTCTTCCAGGCAGTAGCAGCAGCAGTAGTTCAGACTCCACATGTTCTGTCATAGAGAAACCTCTGGATAAGTTCTTGCCTAGTGAGTGGTAGGCTCTTAAATTCTCTAACAGAGCTTTGGCTTTTCCATCACCCATGGGCTTCATTTGAGAAATGCTGCACCGCTCCCTGTCATCACTTAAAGAATACGTGTTGGACTTCTCCTTAGACCAAGCATGTGATGATTCCCCTTCCCTTTCATTGCTTCCAGTTACCCATAATTGTTAAAACATATGCTTAAGCTTATGTTTGAGACAATGGAAGAGAAATTCATGCTTTTGCAATTGAGATAATGTAAAGAGAGCTAGTAAGCTGTATAAAAGAATAATTCTTATTGTTCCTTTTCATGTTTCATGACAAATTTCTAATCCTAGTCAGTATAAGAGACATCTAATAACAAATGCTGAATTTCAAAAAGTCTAAATTATATTTGGAAGTACACCGGTGCCCATTATAACATGTCTTACAGTTAATAAACGTTTTACACTTTGGTGTCCTCTTCTTAGGGTAGCTTAAGATTGAAAGCTCCCAAATAAAAAAAAAAGTAAAATTTGAAGCAAGTAAAGATAAATTGAATAGTATTTTATATCAAATAGCCATCTATCCCTATTTCTAAATTACCTGATTGATTTTAAGAAATTTTCTAAAGTATGATTTTAGAATTCAGATCCACAAGATATTGTTTTTACAGGATCTATCAACTTATTTCCAACCTAAAGGCTTTTTCTTAAACCTTAATTAAATTGAAAAGTATTATTAATTTTATTTATATTTTATTTTCAGAAGGAAAGGGATTGATGCTTGTACTAGTTTGCAGCTTACTGCCTTTTAAAGCATTATCTGTATACTTAACCTTTCAAAACTAATAGCAAAAACATTTGGTTATTGTTCATATGCTTTTAGCATTCTAGAGGAAGAATTCCACAAATATTAAGAATTGTTTTCTCTGTTGACAATTCTTAAATTTTACCAAAACAATTTCAGAGGATAACATAAAATATACAAAGTTGCTTTAGAAACCATATAGAAGTATTATTTTATATTATTAAAAAATACAAAGAAATACAAGAATTACAAGAAAATATCTGAGTGGGAGGTATTATAATTTAATTTTCTGTTATAAAACTTACCTTAATCCGTAAAGACTAGTGATATGAAAGTATGATATGAAATGAGTTGTGCTTTGTTAAATTTAAAAGAAATTTTAGCTCTATTTGTTTACCTAGCACATGATGTTAAGTTCTTCTGTTGTGATATGGATGTGTTGAAGTAGAGAGATGCTTGTCCCAGCATGTGGTTACTGTGTGTAACTTGTATGTACTTTCCCTTTTAAAAATATGAATGGCCTTTTTTTAAGGTGTTCTTTGCTTGAATCATCAATTGGTCATTCACTTCTATAGCATCATTATTATAATTATCCTTAACAATCTACTAATAGATTGAATGCAAGTTTGTTTTATACAGGTGTACTTCACTTTGTGCAATGAAAATTTTTTTCTGAAAAAATTGCTTATAAATCGAGTTGCAAAATCAAATGCATTGGGAGAACTTGTTGCCTTTAAAATTTTTTTCATCAAATCCTTTTGTTAATCAAATAATCACTGTAAATTACTGTGATCTTATTTTGGGTCAAAGGTTTTGGGTTGGATTTTCTTAAAGAGAGGCACACCTGTAACAGATCCTTATATTGGAAGAACATTGAATTGGGAAATTTTAAATATGTACAGTGTGACTTTTGCTACTTTTAACTGTTATGAACTTTTTTAATTAACTTAATTTCCTGTTTTGCTCTTTTAGAATACTTCCCAGGTCTTAGCAGGTTCCCAATTCTATGTCTACTGTCATTAGACCCACATGGTGCTGAACTGTTATATTGTTTGGGAGTCAGTGTGAGCTCTTGAGATCAATTTGAATTATAATCTTAGACTAAATTAATATTATTATCTCTGCTTAAATTACATCTCTAATTGTGTTGAATATACTTTACTTTTTACATAAAACTGCTCTTTTCCAGTCTTGATAATGATTTATTTCTATACTTATACTATAAATAAATGCTAGTATACATTTTTCTTTGTTTTACATAAGAATAATGTTTTTCTTTTTTTCCTCCTCATCTCTGTGCATATGCTTCCTGTCTGCGATTTGCTTACTACTTCTTATTGAAAGATCAAGCAGGTTGGTGTGATTGATTTGCACTCCACATGGTACAATTATTTAAACTTAAAAGAATTTTGTCATTTAATTATATTACATTTTTTAAATTTAATATTTTTATAAGGTAAGTGTCCATCTTTTGTATTTAAAAAAAAATTTTTCAACTTTAGCTTTTAACAAAAAACTTTTTTCCTAAATTATTTTTAAAGATTTACCTGAGTTTTTATTGAGGAAGATATTAGGAACATTCTTGTTTCCAAATTATCTTTTTAGGGGAACAATTCAGAAGTATTAAGATTGACAGTGACAAACACACATGATGTGCTAGACCTAGTTAACAAAATAGACAAAAATAAATGTATCACCAGAACCAGATGGCATAATCTTTTTTTCTAAATTCTTAAGGACCCATTAAGCCAAATTTTGGAAATATAAATGATTTCACAGTCAAGCATTTTTTTCCTTTTTTTTTTTAAAGTGAGGTATCAAATGCCTGGTTTTGTATGCCCATGGGTGCTTTTGTAATGAAAATCAAATTAATTCGATTAACAATTCTCTGAGATTCTTCCCTTTAACTCTACCTTGCCAAAGTTCACCTTCACAGTTTTGGGTAGAGCACATGGCACAGGGCAATTAAAAATATTACTTTCTTTCTATTTGTCTTAATTCGTCTATGACATTAACAATTTTTTTAGATTTACTTATCTGAAATCTTGTGCTGAATTCTATTATACAGTATTAGGAGAAGCAGCATTTTTTGTTTGGTTTGGTTATGATCTTTTAAAAAATTAATATAAATGTGACTTTTAGTGATGTCACATTTTTGAGTGCCTGGTTAGGAGAGTTGGTACATGTTTATATTTAGCTAAAATATTATTTGGGGAGAAATATAATGATTTATCAGAGTAATTCTGGCAATAAGGTGTTACTGAAATATTAGACTTTTGAAACTGAACCTAGCTATGTATACGTGGTCATGTTTATGAAAATGTTACAAGAGCACAATAATATCTTCGTTGCTGCAATATCAGTTGGAAAATATTACCTGGATGGTTTTGAATAACTACTGCAATTTAGGCATAGTAGTGATTCATCAATAGGCATATGATTTTGTATTTCTACAGATAAATTCTTTTTATTTCACTGCCTCGTAATGGGTTTGGAGACTATGTTTTTAACTGTTAACAAAACAATTAGAACCCTAGAAGCCTAAAAAATTAACATATATATGTTGATCAGATCATTTCCTCTATAACGTCAGTATTCATGTCTTCACACATTGTTTTTTTGGTTTTTTTGTCTTAACATAATTGCCATTTTTTCTTTAAATATTTGTAATTCTGAGGTGAAAAGGAAGTTATAATTTATTACATATGCATACATTTTGTACCTGAACTTATACTTTTCCCCCTCAAATTTCTAAGAAATATTACCAATGGGAAATTCTTTCTAGGAATTCATTTACAATAAGGGTTAGATTACTTTTCTGAATGACCTTATAACAGTGTAATTCAGAATACCCAAGTGGCTGTGTCACAGAGGCCGCAGAATCAGGTCTCCATCCCGACTTGGAAGACTTGGAATGCAATGAATCACACCACACCGAAGCATGGATTTGGATCAGTGCTTTTATTTACTCTTTTATTTAGCTTATTTGTTTTGTGGCTTAAGTTTGCTTTGGACTTATGTTTCTATAGGAATGAGGGCTTAATATATTTTAATCCCTTAGGGTTTTTTAATATAATTTTATTCTAAAGAATTAAAGCCTGTGAATGATTCTCTGTCTCATGGTTCCAGAAAGAATGTATTCATTCAGTTCTCTTTCCTTGTTAGCAGGAGAGGTTAGCTTTTGGGTGGAGACATTAACAGTTTGTAAAGTCTTCTGGTTTACACTCTTCTGTGGTCCTTTGGGAAGGAAGTTAATGACAGAAAGCTTTCAGGAGAGTCTCAGACCAGTTCTGCGAAAAGTTTGATCGTTTTTCTGAAAGAAAGTATGTTTCAAAGAAATTGTATTACCAGAAATGAATGATCTTTGACTCAGTTTCATAACCAGTTTAATCTGCTAGTTTTTATTTTCTTTTTGATTTTTCATTTTAATCTCATGATTTTTAGATTCATTCAGGAAACTTTAATACTATATATAACAATTTAATACTTTTATTTATGCTATTTGTATGTAAAACACTCTACTAGACATTATAATAAAAATAATTGCAAGCTGTATTTCCAGCTTTATTATTTTGTAGCATTTCTACTTATATTTGACATTTGTCATGTTTTACCTGACTTAGGGAGATTTAAGGTTCTGCGTCTGACATAATAATGTTCTTTTAGTTTTTCATTTAAGATACGTCATGACAGCTCAGCAACTGTAAAATGTCTGGTTAATTACTATGTAACTGTACTATGTAACAATTAGTATAGATTTTTCTCCTTTAAAAGTATACTATGAAATAAAATATTTTCAAGTAATTTTATTAACAATTTTATAAACATTCTGAAGATACAAAAAGACTACTTTGAGTCCTGCCTGATAATTTTATCTGTTCATTTTATACCTATATGTGACTTTTACTTATTAATTTAATAAATTTAGGGAGGTGTTTTGAGAAGCTACTTGATTTTTGTACCTGGTTATCAGAAAAAAGTAACTAACCATATTGCTTTTTCGATCATATATGTTATTTGAGAACACATAGATTTTTGCTTTTTTAATTTATTTGGCTTTCCTGTTAATCTCTTTTTCTTTCTTTTTCCCCCCTGCTCATCTGTTTTGCTTCTCTTTCACTTACTTTTGTCGTTAGTTATCACTGCACAATTGGACAACAGTTTGAATTTAGCAATTAGTTAAAACGTTCTTCTGGGAACATTCATTTGATTTCCTTAAAATGTTGATATTTGATTTTATATTATTGAGGAATATATCTTATAAAGATGAAGAGAATTTGTACAAGTCTGAAATGTTGGCTCTAAAGTGATTGCTGCAATTAAATGACTCAAATAGGTAAAAAGAAAGTTTCCCCAGATAAGATGGTTGAAATGCAAGCAAAAATTGATGAGGAGAGAAAAGCACTTGAAACAAAGCTCGACATGGAAGAAGAGGAAAGAAACAAGGCTAGAGCTGAATTAGAGAAACGAGAAAAAGATCTTCTTAAAGCCCAGTGAGTATCACTGAATTGAGATAGATTCGTGATTTAAATTTCTGGTATTTTTCATAAGATGTATAAGCAAGAAAATTGAATAGTAATTAAAAGCTTGATATTTGTCTCCAGAGTACCTATTTTTGGATAGGTTTCATTGTATATGTCGTATATCTAAAAATTATATCTGTTTTGATTGTTTCTTCTCAATGTGGGAGGAAAAAATATCAGTGAATTCTAATTAGTTATAATTAAATCGTAATACTACCCAGTGCTATAATTTGATAAGGATGTTACATAATTACATTCCTGTTGAAGTTTTGCATCCAAACTCTTGTTAAATTTGGGGAAATCATGTTGGTAGAATAGTAGATAATCGATGGATATAGAGTATTCTCATTTTAATCAACAGACAAGAGCATCAGTCTTTGCTAGAGAAATTATCTGCGCTGGAGAAGAAGGTAATTGTTGGTGGTGTTGATTTGTTGGCGAAAGCTGAGGAACAAGAGAAACTTCTTGAAGAATCTAATATGGAACTGGAAGAAAGGAGGAAGAGAGCTGAGCAACTTCGCAGGGAACTTGAGGAAAAAGAGGTGATGTGATTTTTTGGCCTAAGGTATTTAATTTTTCTAGTGAAAAGCAAAATATCTATACTCTTGATAAAATTTTAAAGCAGATCTATGGGTTGTATTGCAGATAATAGTTGCTAAACATTTATATTATTTGTTAAGTAAATTTGTGGTTTAATGAAAATTAGTCTGAAGTTTATCAATTTTTTTCATAGCAAGAACGCTTGGATATTGAAGAAAAATATACCAGTTTGCAAGAGGAAGCGCAGGGAAAGACCAAGAAATTAAAGAAAGTTTGGACTATGCTGATGGCTGCGAAGTCAGAGGTCAGTCTCTTAGAAATTACCTATTAATGTAGTTCTGAATTTTTTAAAAAAGAATTTCTTTGAGTTTGATTAAGAATCCTAAAGAAATCATAATGTGTGTTTACAATTTTAAAGAAAGAAAATTGTTTCCTTTATATGCAATTTTTAGTTTCAGCTATTAAATGAAATGGTTTATTTCTAGCCTTAACCCGTGACGTGGACTAGACAGGGATAGCGTCACTCTGCCCATTGCTTTTGTGAAAGAACTGGGCAAGCTCATCCTAGACCCGTGCCCTGGGTCGGATTCAGCTCTTTTGTGCTTAAAATCTTGTTGGTTCTTAGTATTCTCTTTGCTTTTCCTGTAGATGGCTGATCTCCAACAAGAACATCAGAGGGAGATCGAAGGCCTACTAGAGAACATTCGACAGCTTAGCAGGGAGCTTCGGCTTCAGATGCTTATTATCGATAACTTTATACCTCAGGATTATCAGGTAAGAGGGAAGTCTTCTGACCTAGATATTAGGTCACTGAGTTGGGGTTAAGGAATAAGGAAATATAATTTGTCATTTCATTGGTGGTTAGTATTTACATTTCAGTTGACGATAAATTTTTTTTGAACTAACACCAGCACATTTCACTTCATCTGTTAACTTTTCTTAATACATAATTCTCTGTTTGAGTACCTCAGTATCTAAAGAATTTCTCAGCCCTTTGGAAGAATCCAGATTCATATACAATCGGCCCTTGAATAGTGTCATTTCATTATAACGTTGATGAAAAAAATATTGATTCCCAGCCAGGGCCACTGTCTGTGTGGGGTTGGCATACCGCCCCATGTCTGCGTGGTTTGTCTTCAGCTTCCTCCCACATCCCAAAGATGTGCACGTGAGGTAACTGTCGTGTCTGCATTGTCCCAGTCTGAGTTTGCGTGTGTGTGCATGTGTGCGTGTGATGCCCCCGGCGATGGAAGATTTTCCTCTTTAAGGTGGGTGCCTGCTTTGCATCCTGAGCTGCTGGGATAGGCTCCAGCCACCCGTGAATATTTTTCTCTGAATTGGCATAAACAGGTTGGAAAATAATTATCTTACTTGTCTTTACTAATCTTAAGTGTATGTATAGCTCACATTTACTTCAGTGTTTAATATTAGAAGTGTTTTAGGTCTTTATTTAGAAGTTTGGTGATGTTTTTGTGACCAGACATATGCCATAGAAGCTTAACTTTTGCTTATATCAATAAACCTATGGTAAAACTGGTTTCATTATATGTCGTTTCGCTTAAAGTCGCAGTTTCCAAGAACCTATTGATGACGTTAAGTGAGGGCTTACTGTTATTGCAATTAGAATCAAGGTATAGGTCCTTGTTTATTCATTCAGTGTTCTTTATTCTATAAATAGAATAAGCAGAACTCCTGTGCTATCTTTTTCTCCCTGATTATGGATGCTAATTCTGTGTGTGTGTGTGTGTGTGTGTGTGTGTGTGTGTGTGTGTGTGTGTTAAAATATATATAACAGAAATTGACCATTTTAACTACCTTTAAGAGTACAGTTCAGTGACACTAAATGTATTCACAATGTCGTACAACCATCACCGTTATCCATCTCCAGGTGGATGCTAATTCTTACTATTAGTGTAATTTAAAAATCTCAGCCTCTATTTATTTTTTACTCAAAATTTTTATCTTTCTAGTACATTTTAGTAAACTTTAACATACTGATTTTTTTTAGAAATTTATTTTAAATCTGTATATAGCTTTAAGAGATTTGTCTGAAAATAAGCCGTAGTATTTTTTTCCTTTGGACCTCAGGTGCACATCATTAATCTTTGGTTCTTGGTACTCTCCTCTTATTGGTTCTTGGATAGCCTGCTTTGATTTAGTTAGTTATTTTGTAGTGAACTCATTACCCCAAACAAAAGCTAGGACGCGACAGTAATCTGCTTCCAATCAAATGGCTCCTTCTCCCTTTTCCTATCCATTTGCCTCTTCCAGCTCAAGGTAACCATCATCTTGAATCCCATGTTCTTCATTTCCTTGCTTTTTATTTTTATATGGTTTAATTGCATCTATATACATTTCTTAAAAGCATGTATTTTTAAATTTATAAAAAGCGTATCATGTAGTACATAATGATACACTTTTTATAAATTTAAAAATATATGCTTTTCTCCTTAATATATTAAGATTTTAGTTCCATGAATATTTTTCAATCTTTTAAATGTTTTTAAAGATAAAAAGTAGACTGTCTTTGACTCTTTTGAAAGGAAATGATTGAAAACTACGTCCATTGGAATGAAGACATAGGAGAATGGCAGCTGGTAGGTATTGCCTTCATCCTTTCATGAAATACTTGCAGAGTACTTCCTGCAGACTATGAATTTTGCTGGCTTTCATGGGGAGAACGGTGGTCCAGAGGATGAATCAGATGAGAATCCGGTAGGGTGGATAAGCTGTTTTTTCTAATGACTGTATTATAACACACAATATTAGGTAGAAATGGTGTAGGTCAGGGCTACATAGGACTGAATGACCTCTGGGTCCCCTTCTGTTCCAGCATTCAAATCATGTTTTATGAGTGTAACATCAGTATATCTCATAGCAATTTGTTTATTCACAGTATTAATTGCTAATCATGACAATTGTTTTCTGCTTCTTTTTTCCTTTTTTGAGAAATGTGTTGCCTACACAGGAAATAACATGAGGAAGCAGACTCCAGTTCCTGATAAAAAAGAGAAAGATGTAAGAGTGCTTTTTTTCCCCAAAAAAAGTACAGTTGTTACTTTATAGGAATGTGGGTCACGGTGTTATCAACATGATAGCTATTAATCAGCTCTGCTGAAAAGTTGGCTTATCTTTTGGTAATAGAGGCTCTAGGACGGGGTGGTTATTGGGACTGTTCTGCTCACCTCAGTCATAATGCAGGTTTATTTCTACCACAAGAGTTGCTCAGAGTCATCTTTGAAGCCACTCTTCACAGCCTTTCTGAGTCATGGGGATATGGTTAGAGACTAGAGTGTCGTTTTCAAAGCTAGTCCTTTTTAAAGCTGTTAGAAATAACAGCTTTAGAGAGAACAGCAGCAGTTCCTTTTTACTACTAAGGAATTTATACTGTGTTGTGCTTCTTCACCAACTTTGGTGAATGCATTTGAGATAAATGGCATTAGCAGAAGATACCTTGAGACATTTACGTGGTCTACTGTGTTTTTTTTCCTAGGCGTTTATTCAATATTGTACATCTTTCCCCAAACCCGATTTCCGTTCTCAGAGTGTCTGGCACTTGTTTCCTTTTCCAGCCCTTTGAAGCGGACCTTTCCCATGTGTATCTTGCCTATACTGAGGAGAGCCTCCGGCAGTCCTTGATGAAGTTAGAGCGGCCACGGGCCTCAAAGGGAAAAGCAAGGCCAAAGACGGGGAGAAGGTAAGGACTGTCTTTGAATCCCGTGAAGTAAAGGCAACGAGATATGCTAACTAGACACAGGTAAAGGAAATTTATCAGCGTTCTAATGTAGTTATGACTTGAGCGAATAAAACCTTGCTAAGGGATTTAGGTCTTCTAACTTCTTTAGCCTTCCTGAGTAATGGAATCTATTTTTAATGTATTTTGTTCTTTCCGAATGTCTAAGTCACCTACTGTCTTAATTCCTTGATTCTTACACTAATTTTTCTAGTGAAATGCTAATAAATTTGCTTGGTTAGACTCCCAAGGTATTGTATTCAGCTGATTCATTTTTCTGTCTTAAACATTATCACAAGAACCTCGATTTCCTCAGTCAGGAGTTAAAACTTCTCTGGCCATCTTCCCCTCTCCTTTGGGTGCTAAGTGGTCTTCATGTATCATAATGTAAACCTAGGGAAGCCAGGATCTGAGAGCCTTGAGCTGGAGCTTATTTCTTCTTTTCCTGCCCTACATCAAGTACTGCTTAGCTTACTTAAACTGAACGTAAGACTTTGGGGCTCCTGAAATGAGAGGAAATAACAAACATATTTTTTTCCCTGCTTCGAGTACGTAGACTTTCGAGTTATATGTAGGGTGAAGTTGTATGATTTTATTATTTTTGTGTTACATAATCTCATAGGCATAACCTAACATTTATAAATTTGGACAGTTGAACTCAGGGAGAAGGAATCAGTAGCATATTAAAAGTGCACAGATTTTTACATTCTTTAGCATTTATGTTAAATGTTAAAAGCCAGGGGTTAAAAACTATAATCCAGCAGAAGCCATGCATAATGAATGTAATATTAATGAAAAAGCATAGCAGTTCAAAGAAACACAAATCCCTCTAGATGTTTCGCTTTTCCACTTCTAATAGAGATATTTTCCTCTTAACTCTGAAGTTAATAAGAAAAATAACAATACAAGTATGATGATAAATGGTAAGACAGTTGGCCTCAGTGTAGGCAAAAAATTAGCAGTGGTGGGGACTGGGGCAAAAGGAGAGCAGTCTGTCTGAGGTGAGTGGCTGCTACCCGTCTCCTAGTAGAGGTTTTGGGAATAGAGAGCCCCTTGTTTCTGAACCTTCTTGTTTCAAAGGGGAAACCAGAAGTTGAATTATTTACATGAGATCTCTCAGTTTTTAGTCACTTTTGAAAACTATGTGGACCTAAAACAAACAAACAATTTGATAAGGTATTTAGATACAGTTTTCAGAATGCTTGTTTAAAAATATATACCTTAAAAAAGAACTGCAACAAAAATACATGTGAGCCAACATTAGATCAGCCAAATCCAGTGTCTCTGTGAACCAGAATTAGCGTGTTGTGTTATGAAAATAATAGATGGCCATAAACATAGATGAATATACACAATAAGTGGTTTATTGATATTACATTACATGATTGTGTCCAGTGTAATGTTCCTCATTAGAAATGATAATTCATTGTGCTAAGCAAAATTGCAATAAACATGGTACATTAATGTGGCATTTCCATCAGTCTCTGCACATACATCTGTGCAGTGTTACCTCAGGTGATTTTCACGGAATAAACCTGCACTGTTAGCATACTCTGGAAGAGACTGGCCGGGAGCGGGGGGAGGTGGTGTTCAGTCTAGCAAGCATGCAGCCCTCTGGGCCTGACCACGCTGTCTAGTCCAGATTTGGAAATTGGCACCTACTTAGTCGCTCACCACCCCGGGTGGGAGGTGGAGTGCCATGCTCTTCTTGTACCTGTGCTAGGTGACCTTCCCTAGCCTGAAAAAAGTGGGCATGGATTGATTTCCTCACGTAGTCACACATGTCCAACCATGGCCTGTCTCGAAACTATGGCTGCTGCCCTGTATTATCCACTATGTAGTGTAAAGTGTTTGCATTTCAGTCTTTTAGGAAAGCATTTATGTTTTCTTTTTTTCTTCTCCAAACAGAAAGCGTTCTGCAAAGCCCGAAACTGTGATTGACTCTTTACTTCAGTAAGTGTTACAGACTGAAAATCTCAATAAAAATTAGTGACTGTCTCATGCCTGGACAAAATCTTTAATTAAAACGCTGAAGACTTCTGTGTAATTTCAAATAATGGAAATTGTAAATCATGGAGTAAGACTGGAATAATTTGTCTAATAACTTTTAGTCTATATATGTTAAGTTAATATAACATTAAAATTGCACAACTGGTAATTGTTCCAATTGTCGTATTACTCTGCAATTTATACTCTATAGGGAAATTGGGGGAGCAGCTCATACTGTAAAGAGTTGCAGTTTAAATGTATACATAAATCTGCTAGTAATTTACTCAACTACTGTATATTTAGATAACTGAATATTCAAAATAGAAAAAAGTGTCCTGTTTTGCGCACACAGTAGCAGTTCTAATTGTCTTGTGTTAGGCTGTTATATATGAATGTATGGGCTACAAAACTAAGAAATGATTCAATCCTAATACCCTGTCTAAATATGTTCTAATTTTTATATTGTCACTCATTGCATTTTAAATAGTAGATGACTGATCTTATTGATTTGTAGAAAATTTATAATTTGACAGTCTTTAGAAGTATACATGTTTAACAAACAAAAGTTGAAAATATGTTTCATCTGGTCCTCTCGACTTTTTTGTCACTTTGAGTTCAAGTTGAATATACCTTTTTGTTCTGGTTTCATGTTCTCCTGAAGCATTGAATTTGTGCCTAAATATAAAGGAGTCACAGATACAGAAAATTAAGAAGCTAAACACTGGTCACTCATCTTGCCCATATGTGTCTTATTTTTGAAGTGTGATTAATGGATGCTTTCCTTTGAGTTCTAAATTTTGATGGAAATTGCTCTGTAACTCCCAACTGAGAAAGGTCTCCATTTTCTAAAGAAAATAACCAAAGCAAGAAAAATATCTTTTAATCCTTTGCCTTTAAAATACTTTTTGTTTTTCTTTATATTTTATTAAATGAAAATATTATTGCCTGAATTTCTTCCATTGACAAATCCAGTTAGCTATATTCCTCTAAAAATAGAAATTACTTTTATAGTAAAATAAGTTGAAATAGAACTGTTTTCTTTTGTTGGCTGCTTACAAATTTTTTATTTTTTTGAACATTATGCTACACCTACACCACTTAATATATCTTTTTATGAATTTTAAAATTATATAATCAGCCATGAAACACATTGGTTGCAAGTGTTGAGACTTCATAAATTAGTATTTATTAAGTTAACATTATTTTAAGAAGTTTGGTTAAAGTAGTTTATAATTACAAAGCTGTACAGAGTGGGGTGAGTGAAGGTGATGCACTTGTGAGGTGATAGTAGAAATGTGTCCACAGACTGAAAGTGCTTTCCAGAGGTGGGCATGAAGCATCCTGTGTGTGGTGCGTATTTTCTAGGTAATAAGAATTGTGTTTAACGGGCAGCATTTTCTTTGTAACGTGTAAGATAGTTAGAAGTTTATAACTTACTCCATGGGGCATTGTTTACATACTGTGAAGACTTGAGGTGAATTTGTGTCTTGTAAAAGTTTTGTGTGAGCAGAATGTCTTGGCAATTTTGATGCACATTTAACTCTGTTATACTCTAGAGAAATCCTAATTTTACCAGGAGAAAGAAAAGATGAATACTTCTTTGAAAAGTCCACATTTCTAGCCTTTAACTATCCAGTTAATAAGAAAGGAATAACTTTTGCATTAAACTCTAAAACATTGTAGAAAATTTAAGCCAGTATGTTATGTTTTCTTTTCTATTCCATTTCACTGCAATTACGAAAAGCAACCTATAAAAAGTCAAAGTGCTGAAAATTTTAAAAAATAGTCTGCTTTAACAATTTTTTTTAAGCATTTATGCTACAACTGATTATACCAGATGGACAATAAATATTCATTTTATGAAATACCAAAATTAGATATTTGAGGCAGACCTGAGTAATCCATATGAAAACATGGACAATGACTTTAGAGCTATTTACTTAGCTCCAGTCCAAAGACACATTTACTGTGTCTTTGTGCACAAATGAAATATTTTGTAACTTCAGTCTTAATTTCATAAAAGGGGATCGATGAACAGACTTGCCCATTATATGAAATCAGCAGATTTAAAATAGGTTTTTGAATAGGTATTTTCTTTTTAATTTAAAATAGTAATATTTATTAAAAGGAGTCTTGGTAGAGGTTGTTTGTGGTATATTCTTTAATAAACCTTGTAATTGTATATACTAATAATTAGGATATTAAAACAATAGTATTCCCATTTTTGTTTAGATTGTTATAAAGTATAAAATTAATCAGAGGAGGGGAGAGTCTGCATCTCTGTGTTTATCCTGCAAGTAGAATCCATTCGACAAGCTGTGTCATCTACTTTCTAGGAAAAAGAGCCCTTTTTTGTAGTAAGAAATTCAAGGTTACTTTGGAGTTGGCAGATGGTGCCGCTTTATTTGTAACATGTTTTTTAAATTATGATTATGGTCGTGGGGTTGTTTTTTTGTTTTGTTTTATTTCCTTTTAGTCATTTTAAAAATGTCTTTCCCCTTAACTCTTATCTGAAGGAAAGTCCCTCTCTTTCCTACAGGACTGTGAATTAAGGAATGGGTGGAGTTTACATTTAAGCACGCCAGTGTCTGTGCGATTTCTTAATGTATACATTTGTTTTCCTTTTTAGTTATTCTTTGTTCTTAAAATGCTAGAAGAAAACATAGGTCTTCCTAGTGCCTTCGAGCTTATACTGTAGTCTGACTGATTTAAATCATTAATAACTTCAAAAGTATTACTACACTACTGTATACTGGCCAGAATTACAAATTGTACAGTGAGTTTGTTGCATTAATTTCAAAAGCCACACTTCCATCGTATTTTATGTATAAATTGTATTTGTTCAAGTTGTACATATTGATATTGTATATATATACGTGCAGCATGGGTTAATAAGAAATAAAAGTGTTTACCTAATGCTATTAATAGTGGTCTGCTTCTTTACAGAACTCTTTTTGTGTTTGCATCCATCCTGTTATTAATAGGCAGGCCCTTTGTGCTTGGCATCTGGGTTTCGCTTGGTTAAGGTAGGCCTGTGTAATTTCACACCCAGAAACCACCGTAAGACAGTAACAGGAGATGTTTTTGAACGTGCTTCTTCTCATTGATAAACTTTATTTTCACCAAAAATGTTTCTACCCAGTTTTGTTACCCTTTTCTCACTGGGTGATTGAGAACAGAAACTTGAAATGTGCATGTGGAATATATCTCGCCAAAAAGTAAAAGGAGACATTTCCGAGTGGTAACCGTGTGATCTTTCAGAACATTTTAATGAGCTTAAAATATCTCTAAAGCAATAATATTGCTTGGATTATTGTTCATCCTGGGTTCTTTTGACAAACATTTAGTGGTTTCCAGGCAGAGCGCTAGGAGGCCTTAAGAAATTCAGAGATCATTGAGAAGTTTTGATTTTTGTAGGCAAATTTCAAAGGACTTAAATGTGCTTTCTGCGTGGGAGAGGAGACTCCTCTGGCCGTTTTCGGCTTGCTCTCCCTTCCCAACTGCTAGCTTATGTAATAAACTCCTACACGTGTGTAGGATGTGAAGATAAATGAAAGGCCTGCCATTGGCATAAGCAAGATAGTAAATAGCGCCGCCTTCGCAGCCCTCTGCCCTCCTCCCTGTGCCCTCCTCCCGGGTTGAGTTTTGGAGGTATGATACTTTCATCAAGCAACCTGGTCCATCCCATCTTTTCCTGAAGACTCTCCAGAAATCTCTTTCAAAACCCAAGGACAAACAAACAACCCACTGTCAGCCTAAGGGACCACAGTTAGCCTGTGCCTAGGGGAGCAGTTAACACAGCTCTGAAAGCCACAACTTAAAGGAGCTGGAGGAGCCTTCTAAACACATTTGTTATAACATTATCTGAATGTCTCATTCTTAAGCCGTTTCATTTGCAAAGCAAATCAGATATTCAGTCCTCCTTCGGAAGTTGAACAAATGTGTGGGAAAATGATTATGAAGAGGCTACTTCAAAAAGAACCTGTTTCCTCTCAGCATTTATCTTGGGCTTCCTGTGACCCAATCTTCAAGCTACTTTTATCAACATTATCAGAACATCACTTTGTCTTACCCAAACGCGTTTATGGCTCTAAAGAATATGACAGATCAGACATCCTTCCACACCTGCTCCCCTCCCCCACCCCTTTTTTAGAGGGCTGGGGAAATTTTAGTTTTTAATCAAAGGCTTTATTTCTCCAATTGTACAAAGGAATTCAACTGGGACTTTACAACTGAATACGGTCTTTCTCAGAGTTGATACCAATCTTAGCAAGAGGATATTGCCTAACCCAACCCAAAAGTACCAGAGTCATCACAGAAATACTATGATGATATGGATTTCTATTCCAACATGAGTTATGGTACTTGGTCATCAGGTGTCTTCTGGATTTACCGTGTGCCTACCCCATGCTGAACAGGTCCTTAAAGCTCACAGCTTTCCCCAAGGAGGAGAGGTGGCCCTGTAAATGGAGAATGACAGCGTGGCCCTTTGAAGGCTGTAGTGAAGAGGGTGAATGGTGAGCTGCCTGGCACAGCATTCTTCCTTAGCAGCTAACATCGTGCCTAGCTCAGTCTATCTGACTGAAAGGGCAGAAAAGTCTCAGGGGAAGAGCTGATGAGGCATTAAAGCCGTCCAACACGTGGGGAAAGGCGTTCCAGGTGGAAGGAGCATCATGAGTCTGGATGCCATGTGCTTTGGTGTTATGTTTGAAGTAGAACAAAGGGCTGGGGAGAGCTGAGCCTGCAAAGGAAAGGAATAGGCCAGTATCCTACTGTGAATTTCTGTGAGCTGTGGGAAGCCACACAAGGATTTTAGGTGGGTCACTCACATCGTTTGTGTTTTAGAGACACTGCTGCTGAAAAGATTGTGAAGAATTGGAAAAGAGGGTGCTGGGAGGGCAGATGATATACAGCTTGAACTGGCCACAAGCTAAAGCTGCAAACCTCCCTCCCTCTTCAAGTGGCTCTCTTGCACTCAGGACTGGTACCTTGACTGATGGAATACATGTCTTCTCTTCACTCACATTGCCTAGCAGGTAGCCAGGTGTGCAGTCAGCACACAAAACATACTCGTGTTGGGTTTAACACTGGCTATTGGAAACAAGAAAGGAACAGACCACTCAGAGATAAAGTCGAACTAGGAAGAAGTTGACAGGAAGGATGGATTAGAAGAGAAACATTTCAGAAAGCTGAAGTGAGAATGTCTGAGAGCTTAGGGCAAAGACGGGTTCAGGAAATTCTTGGCAGGGCAGCTGACGCAGCTCCACCTGGAATGGAACTTGAACTTGAGCTGACAAATGCAACCAAGAACTCACCTTGCCCTCTGTGGAAGCTGGTAGGAACTGAGAAGCCAGCCTTGCATGCCGATAGGCCAGGCGTGTCTTGCTCCGTGAGAAAGCTGTGCATTGCAGTCTGCCCTAAAATCCCCCATTCTCAGATGATTTGGTCACCTTGAGAGGCCAATGGAGATGACATGTGGAGCATGGTGGGAAAAGACAGGGCAGGGTTACTGGCATGGACACGCCAATAGCAGCAAGAGAGTCCCTGAGGCGTTTTTATCAGGCGTTTTTATTCCTAACCGTGGCCCAAGGACGTTTCAATAAAAGCCGTAGATTTGAGTGAAGCGTTTTTTCCTTTCATTTGTTTATTCAATAAGTATTTATTACCTACTAATGTCAGGTAGAAGTGTACTATATTCATAGGTAGAAGGTGGAGGTAGCTGACAGCAGGGAGGGAGGGGTTCGGTCTTTGCTGTCCAGTGTCACCCATTTCATGCACAGGTAGGCATGGGCTGTGGCTAAGTCTCCTAAATAAATGTGCTTAAGTGACAAACATCTCAACTTTCACTTAATTCTGAACTTTTTTCACTCATTCTTTTTATGTGTGTCTTCCTTAATTCGTGCTCACTTACTCCCATTGTAAACTCAAGGGCTTATTCTTGGGTGTTTCTGTCCAGAGCCCAACATCACTTGTCTGGAAGTCAATGGAAGTGTTAGCTGCCTCTTAACCACTGAAACTTACCTTGTGACAGACCTGCCTGGAGCCTGCGTATGTCCTACCTATGGCCCATTCTAAATATTTCTTCCCGACAGCCTTTCTTTTACCATCCTGGCCTCATACACAAACTATAACCCACAACTCATATCCTGTGGCAGACTACAGCTCACATTAGCCATTGAATGCAAATGAGTCTCAAAGAAGAAAGGAAATTAAAATTTTCAGTGTGGCCTTAGAAGCCTCCATGACTCTCTTAGTTACTTGTTGCCCTTGGCATGCTGGTATTTTATGTGGGCAGGGTGAAACTGGCTGTGGTCAGGGTGAGACTTTAAGCTTTTGATTTGTTCCCTTATTTTGAAAGGGTTAAAAAGATATTACATGTTTTGGTATAATTTTAGTACTAGTATTAATTTTTGTCGCCTATGTGTAAGCGAGGATGAAAAGGATGCTCATTCACTGTTACTAGATCCATATTCTTGCAGAGCACGTCTTCAAAAGTCAAGTTTCAATGACTTGACACTCATTTTTTTCCCTTTAATTTTTTTTTAAATAACAGCTTTATTGAGTGACAACTCACATACTATAAAATTCATCCCTTTAAAGCGTACAGTTTAGTGATTTTTAGTATAGTCACAGAGCTGTGCAAACACCACCACCACCTAACATCAGAACACTTTGTCACTCCCTCTTCCTGCACCCCCCATCCCCTAGCAACCATGCCTCTGGATTTGCCCCTTCTGGACTGTTCATATAAATGGAATCACATGTGGCCCTTCGTGTCTGGCTTCTTCCACTTAGCATAATGTTTCCAAGGTCATCCATATTGTAGCATCTGTCAGTACTGCATTTCTTTTTATTGCCAAATAATATTTCATGATATGGAATACCATTCCTCAGCTGATTGACACCTGGGTTGTTTCTGGTTTTTTTCCTGTTATGAATAATGCTGCTATGAACTTTCATGCAGAGGTTTTTGTGTGGATGTATGTTTTCAGTTCTCTTGGGTGGATATACCTAGAAGTGGAATCGCCAGGCCATGTACTACTATGTTTAGCCTTTAAAGAAACTGCCACCTTGTTTTTCAAAGTGGCTGTACCATTTTCTAATCTCCCCAGCCGTGTCTGAGGGTTCCAGTTTTTCCACACCGTTGCCAACTTTGTGATTGTCTTTTTAACCTTAGTTTTGTAATATTTAAAAACATTTCATTGTTTGTGTTCACGGTCACACACAGATTTAAAATGTAAAGCCAACAGTCTCCTGCTTTTAATCACCCTTATTCCATGTCTCATTCCCAACAAACGAGCTTCCCTTTTTGGTTTTTTAGTTCTTCGTCTTTCTAGTGGCTACCATCGTAATTCCCAAGATCTTTTGATTCACTCACTGTTGTTTTTTTTTTTTCACCTTTTATTATGAAAACTTTAAAACATGTATAAAAGCTGAGTAGTAAAGTCAACCCCTATATACCCGCCTCAGCTATAGCTGTCAACTGTGGCAACTCTTGCCACCTGTTTTGGGGTTTATCAACTTTAGATACTGTGTGTTGATTTCCCTATTGAAAAGTGAAGGTTTACCTCAATCTAACCCTTTCAAATGTTTTATAGTACATTATTTTTAGATTTTTATTACTTTTGCAATTTGAATAAATAATCTCTTGTTCTTGTTCCATCAACCTTGGCTTTGCTTAACTGACCCCCTCGCCGAGGGAGCCGGGGCTCCACCTCTTTCTTTCCTCCTGCTTTTACCTTTCGACCATTTTCAGGTACACCTTTTATATTATCCGGTCGATAGCATTTACAGTCCGTTTTGCAATCACAGTTAAGTCTTCTGTGCTTTGTCTATTGGTTGGTTCTAAGACTTGGGAATCAAGAGAATTTACATTATTAGTACTTTAAGTATTGCTCACTGCAGAACCACGTGGTATGCTAGAATTACTTTTCCCCCATAGAGACTCAGTATAACAACCCTTGTGCCAATGGGAGAAGAATGTTCCAAGCACGCAGTCTTTTCAAATCAGAATTATTTGGTAGTCAGTAGGACTCATGGACCCATTCTCTAAGGTCTCTCTCGTTATTTTCATCCTGTGCAGCCTTGTATTCTTTAATCATTTTGTGCTTTATGTCCCCAGCTAGAGAGGGAACCCCGTCAGAGAGAAGCGAGCTTTCCTTTTTCACTTCTGTACAAGTTTCTCAGTAAATTAATTTGTTTTCCCCCAAAGTTGTCAAGTAAACAGCCGATGCCATTAAAGTGAAGGCTGCTGTCAGATTCTACATATACTTTATTTTATGATGACATATAAATATATAAATATTTTTTAAAAAAATAAGGCTATTAAAAACTCATAAATTAAAATATTCAGCTCCAACTCTTTGAGTATTTCTCTTGCATGGTCTTCCTTAGCGTTTCCAAGACGTTTTTCAATGTATCCTTCTTGGCTTCCTCCACAGGACAGTAGTCCTACAAAAGAAACATTTCATTAGGTTGCATTTGCTAAATATTTGAGTCTTGCTATTAGGCTCGTCTACTTGAGTCAGGCCTACTCTGGCACTTGCCACTGGAACAGTGATCAAATCGGGGCCTCCAGTCTAGCTCGACTGTGAGTCTGACTCTGCCTCTAGGCGAGCAGCGTTTACCTGTTTTCTTAAACTAGAAATGGTTACTGTACCATCACTAGTGTCTGCCTTTGGGGTGCCACAGTCTCCCAGAGGCATGTCCCACACAGCTAGGTGCTGCTCAGGGGGGCCACATGAAGGTGGAGGCCCAGACCTGCCCACTGCTGTCCTGGGCCTCTGTGGGACCTCCTGGGCTGCCAAGAGAGAGTCAGTCCATTTGCCCTCCTGCAGGTCGAACAGCAGCGCCACAGCTGAGCTGCACGTCAGGTAGAAAGGGCTCCAGGTACCTGCCACAGACCACTGCTTCAGTTCGAACCTCAGCTCTACCAATTTATTAACTGCTTAGGACAAATTACTTCACTTATAAAAGCTTCAGTTTCCTCCCATTTTTAAAATGGGAACAATAGTGCCAACTTCATGCGATAATTAAGAGAGTTGAGAGAATGAGTACAATATCAGCTTCCTGTTCTGTTATTTTATAGATAAGGCAATGTGCCCAGGGAGGGGATGAATGGCCTTAGATGACACCCGCTCTCGGCTCTCCTTCTCTCCTACACTGTCAGTAGTCTCCTCTCTACTGGACTATTCCCACTGGCCCATTAACATGTTGAATATATATATACCCCACCTTAAAAGAACTTTTCTCACCCCTCACCTGCCCTTCAGCTCTTGGTCCATTTCTCTGCAGCCTCAGAGCAGAACAACCCAAGAGAATTTCTACACTCACGGCCCCTTCGTTTTCAGGCCTCCCCGCCCCACACTCTACAGAACCCGCTTTGGTCAGGCTCTCGTTCCTGCACCGTCCATCGTGCCCAATCCAGTGGCCCTTCTCTGTCTCCATCTTACTTGACCTTTTCAGTACACTCGACACAGTGCATCCCTCCCTCCTTAAAAGGGTTTCTTCACTTGCCTTCTGGGCACCACACACTCGGTTTCCTCCTCCCTCACCGGCTCTTGCTCAGTCTCTCGCTGGAGCCTCCTCTTCCCGACCTCTGTCCGTTCGTGCCTCTAGGCTCAGCCCTTGGATCTCTCCCCTTCTCTGTGTCAACCAGGTCTTGAAATAACATCTTTCTGAGGACTCTTCATTTGACATCACCTCTCCCCTAAGCTTCAGACTTTTCCAAAAATCTCAACATCTCTACTTAGCTGTCCGATAGGTACCTCAAACTTACTATGTGCAACTTTCTGCTCAGCCTCTCACCCTGCATCACCCCCTGTCTTCCATATCTGTAAACAGCACCAACCATCCCCCCACGGACTCGGGCCAGGAACCAAAGATCGCCTTTTATCACCCCTCACAACAGATCTGTCAGCAAGTCCTTCTGGCTCTGTTTTTAGTTATATCCTGAATCTGACAACTTCCACTGCTCCCACCCATTTGAAACCACCTTCGTCCTCAGCCTGGGTCGCTGTGGTGACCTCCAACGGGCCGCCTTCCTTCTCTGCTTACCCCCATTCCGTCTGGGTCCCATACAGTAGCCAGAGTGATCATTTTAAATCACGAAAAGCAGGCCATGGCCTCTGCCCTGCTCAAAACCCACTGGGTATTTCCCGCCATGCTGAGGGTGGAATCCGAAGGCCCCGTGTGGTCTGACATCCTCCTGAAATCCCCCTCTTCACTCCGATCCACACGCTGGCCTACCTACTCATCTCGAATGCATGAAGCTCACGTCTACCTGAGGGCCTTCGTGCAGCTGTCCCCTCTGCCTGGAATGTTCTTTCCCATTAGTTATGTGGCCTGCTCCCTCGCTGAACTTAAATATCTGCTCAGATGATGTCACCAACTACGAAATCAGCCCTCTCCCTTAGAGCCCCTATGTTCTTCATTCCTGTATTTTTCTTCATGGCACTTATCACCGCTAGACTGCGTGTGGCATGTTCGGTTGCTTTTCTGAGTCTCCACTGAAACATTCGGTGAGAGCAGGGACTCTGCCTTGTCTTTAGTCCTGTGTCCCCAGTGCTAGAGCAGCGCCTGGCACTCACAGAGCCTCGGTGCACACTCGATGAATGAATGAGTGGGCTGGCTGACAGGGCAGCGCCAGCCACACGGAGGAGCGTGCGGGAGCAAGCCCGGCTGGCGGTGTCACGTAGCTTACCCTGGCCATGCTGCGCAGGTTCCTGTCAAGTTTGCCCAGGAATTTTCTGTTTACGCACTCATGGTGTTTGTAGACCTTCCGAAGCACCGTCACAGCCCTGCAGAAGATTTCATCCTCCGCTGTGTTCTAGGAAGAGAAATGCCACCAGTAGCCCTTCACTGGCTCTATTTTGAACATGGAAGACAGATTTTTTCCTTCTGATTTACTTTTTACAGGTGGACAAGTGGAGACAGTCTAGTCAATGGATCCTGCCATGTGAATGACGGCTGCTTGTCACAGCCACAAACCTCTGTAAATAACTGCTCCCAATTACTAGCAAATGCAGCAGCCGTTTCTGCAGAAGCTCCCAGGTTTTTTTTCCCTTGGAAGGTTTTGCCGAGAGGATACCTGAATCCAGTCACTGGGCTAAATAAATAACGGAGTAGGGATTTGAATGCAGAACCACCTGTCTGTAGCCCAGGCCCGTTTTTTTTTTTTTACACAACGCGAGCTATTCTTTCTGTGGTAAGCACCTACATGAGCTCATAGTCAGATTCTGCTCGCTCGCTCTCATTCTTACAAGGTTTTAAATTCCAGGTTTCCCTGGAAATCCGGCTTGCTTGTCGAATAAGTGAATGCCCATTCTTTGGCCTGGACAGTGCTGCTTTGGCCAGCATTCTCCTTTAGCCCGCCCCATGGGAGAGGCCAGTGTGTGTATAGGAACTTGGCTAGAGGTGAGTGCCAGGATCAGGACAGGTGCCCAGGAGTCTTGCCCTGGTGACCAGAGAGAAGATGCCATGGACCTCCAATGGGCATGGTCAGAACCTCCTTGGAATGCTGGCAGCTTTGATGTGGGCCTGGCCACGTGGCTCTTCTTGGGGGACATTTGGGCCTTAGAAGAACAAGCTGGGAAACAGCTCTTGTTGGGAGCCTAGGGAGAGGGGTTGTGTCTCAGTCTGAACCAGGCCTGGTGTGTCCTTTCATCTCCACTGAAGAACTAAGTCTCACAGCCTTGAGCGTGGTCTTAGCTTGAGTCCGAAGCAGCTTAGATACAGCTAACTCTGTCTCTGCCACAACTTGCTCTCGTCCCTGCCACTCCAAGTATGTCCGTGGAGCCGCAGCACGGGCACCACCTGGGAGCTCGTTAGAAACGCAGAATCTCAGGCCTCACCGCAGAGCCACCAAGTCACAAACCTGAGCTAACAGGGTCTCCAGGGGAATTTGTGTGAGAAACGCGGCCCAAGTAGCTTTTGCGATCATTACACTTACATTTTTTTCCTGGTTATCAAGCTAATACGTATTTACTATAAAAATAATATATATTCAACAAAAACGAATTCAGTCATTATCCTACCAGCTAGAGATAACTGCTATTATTCTGGTAAATAACTTCCCAGATTTTTTAAATACATTTTTTTTTTTTTTCAAAATTGGGACCAACTATTAGTCCTGCTTTGTAACTTGTTTACACAACATATAGAACAAGCGTTTTCTTAAGTTCTTCGGTAGTGTTGGAACATGAGATTGACAGCTCTTTAGGAACCCTTGGCATTTTTGTACCATAATGGATCAGTTCCCTATTATTGCAGTTTTTTGGTTCCGTAAATAATGTGGCAGCGAGGCGTCTGTGTAAACCTTTTTGTTCATCCCTTATTCCTTTAGGCCAAATCCTGCCAGGCTATAAAAGCCCCCCTTCCCTCGTGGGGCTTGCTGATCCATGAGCGGAGCCTCTGGAAGGACGCACTCAGTGAGCTGGCTAAGAGCCTTCCTGGGCCCTGGATTCCAGCTGGAAATTTAAGAGCAGCACCAGCATCTCTAGGCTCAGGGAGTCAAGAAACCTCCCTTAAATCACCGGGCCTCTGGGGGCTCTGTGGGTGAGCAGAGGCAGTGAGGCCAAGGAGAAGGCAGACACGGCCTGCGGATGCAGATGCTGTGTGGCCGGAGAGAGAGAGCAGTCAGGCTCAAGAGCCGAAAGAAGAAGACCCCTTTTGCTTGTTTTCTCATCGAAACCCAATGAGACTTTTTTGACACTCTGGCTTGGAGCCTAGAAATTAAACTGCCTCTTAGTTTTTCAAATATGGCCACGTAATACAATAAAAAACCCTCTGAAGGTATTTGTCGAAGGACTTCCTAAAGTAATTAGGATAAATAGGAACTGAAAAGAGTTTGAATCAAATGGAAAAATTTAAAAGAAAAAAAAACCCCTAATTCTAAAGACCGCCTTAGCTAAGGGTCTTCATGTTTTAGTCCCATTGACATTGAAGCAACAGGATGGCACCCCATATTGACTGCTTTCAGCCTCTCGTCCAGCTTTCGCTGCCTGAGTGTGTCTAGTCTAGCACAGCTCAGGGGCACAGGGACAGCCCAGCAGACCTAGGAGTTCAGAACTGCTCGTGGGGGTGTCAGAATGGCAAAGTGCCATCTGGGAGACGACTTCTGTGACCTCTATGACTTTACTCTGATTTAGTTCTCGACTAGCTTTATCCAGCCCTATTTGTGTTGTATCCATTGTCTCCACTTCTGCCCCAATTTAGTCAGCCAGTGCCATTTATGAGAAAATCCTTTACTTTCACTTAAAAAAAAAAAAAAAAAGAAGATATGAGGGCTGGCGTAGAGCTCCCTAAAAAATTCAGCTCTCTCTGGTAAGAAATCCCTCCAGCTAATGATACACCCATTGTAGACGCCCCGGCGGGCTGGCTTTCCACCTCACTCTTAGGCCATTTTAGTTCCAGAGACATCCGAGTACCTGCGAAGCTCAGGATTTGGAAGCCCAGCACAATCTTGCGAGCAACTGCCAAGAGCAGGATGCTACCCAACTTGGAGATACAGGAATTCTTGAAATTCCCCAAAAGAAATAAAACTAATACAATAGATTTGGGAAAGATGTTCCTCTTTGGGAACACAAAGAAGTAACTTTCCCTCCCACATGCCAACTTTGTGGGTTTAGAAAAGCACGGCCTTTCCTTGCGAAATATCCTGATAGATAAATCAGCTGCGCTGAGTCTTTGAGGAAAAGAAAAGAATGAGAAAAAGAGATTATTAATCCAAGAGAAGCAGAAGCAGGTCGGGGAAGGTGCACGAGGCAGGTTGGAGGGCAGGGAGGCAGTGGGACCGGTAGGAGGCGTCTACCTGTGCGGTGAAAGAGGCCTGGGAGAACCTGTGAGGAGGAGGGCTGAGAAGGGCTGGAAGCAACGTGGCCAGGCCTGCACCTGGCGGGGCGGGGTGAGGGGCAGCCGAGTCTCAGAGACAGCCCAGAGTAGGGGGCGCCTGGGCTCAGAGTCATAGAGGGTTTGATCATTTCCAACCACCGGCCACTTTCTCTTAGAATTATTGCTTCTCTGCAACCAGTTTTTGCATTTAAGAGTTTTATCATCTCATGGTAATAATACCTTTCACTAACTCAAGAGTTAGATTCCAACCAAGTTTCAAAATCACTTTCATTTTTCCAGATGTGGAAACTGAGGCACGAAGAGGCATGAAGACTCGCCAAAGGCCACACAGCTAGTCAATGGCAGGAGTGGGCTAAAACCACAGACTGTCTCACTTTCAGACCCTCAATGCTTCCTTTGACCCCCCTGCCCTTGGCCTTGGTAGGCTGCTGTCTGGAGAGCCCAGAGCACAATGCACGGGACTCTTGGCTATTTTACATACATATGTAAAATATTAACATATCACGTTAATATATTTTATGTAATGGTATATGTATATAAAATCTCCAAGTCCTTCCAACCTATTGATGGACACAATCTGATACGGGATGAAACCCTGAAGGACAAAATTATATAATATATATTATTCTATATTATATATTATACTATTACATAGAATTACATTATAATAGTATATATCATTGTATACCAGACTCCTGCAATCATCTGTAATGACCTGAGGTATCCAGATAAAGGCCTGAAGGACAGTTTCACGTCGGGCCTGTTTTATGGTGCTGGGATGTGACCGCCCAACCCACAGGGCTTCACTTCTGGCCAAGCTGCCCCCTGGTACACGTGGAAAGCAGGTGGTTAGGAGACCACTGGTAAATTGAAGCTTTGGGTTTTTCATTCTCAGTCGTGTGTTTCCATGAAAACAGGAACTGATGTGCACAAAGCTATTGATATGGCTGTAGTCATGTGTTTGTCAGAGAAAATGCACTATCAGCTGTCAAATCTATCTCCTCCCACTGCAGATAGAGGGGCGGGGGTGAGACGGCACAGGAGGTGGAAAGGCGAGATGCCCCGGCAGCCCGAAGCAGGGATGTGTTGGACCCCACCTGTCAGGACGGTTCCGGACCCGGAATGAGAGGGGTCGGCAGGACAGAGCAAGCCGAGGGTCTCTGGACGGCCGCCCGGAGCCGGGGGCGCTGGGAGGTGGGCAGGCTGCGGAAGACAAGGGCTCTGGCGATACCCTCTCTGTTGCCGTAGGAAGTGCCTTAGACAAAATGAAAGCTCCCTCAACCCGTAATCTCAATATCTGTTTTTGTGAGAGTATTTGGTTTTTCGGAAATGTAAGGGCCAGAGCAATTCTCTCCTCCAACAAGCATCTCTTGAGCGCCTCCTGTATTCCAGGTGCTGGGCCGGGGCTGAGTACAATCCCAAGGAGCCAGTCCTCGGCCAGGGTCTGAATTAGGATTACAAAATCCAAGCTTTCTGTCACACACCTTCCAACTCAAGTGAAACCAAAACATGTTTTGAGAGTAAAGATAAAAATTCTCATTCTTTGAAGACATTTAACACCTTATAGTTCATTTGGACCTGTTCGCTTTCTGTTAAAAAGAAGTTTCTTGTTCAAACACTTGTGAATGGCTCTCCTCTCCCAAGTCACCCACCTGCCAAAGCAGCCCCGGGGCCAGCCTTACCTTTGGGGCAGCGAAGACGTCCGCCACCATCAGCTCCATGCACCAGTCCTTGGCCCCGGCAGAAATGAGAGAGCAAGAGAACAGTCACCTCCAACTGCGCAGAGCGAGCGCGCCTCGCCAAGCAGCTCCCACTCCCTCACCCAGAAAACTTCCTACGATCTCTCAGGGAAAGGAGGAAGCAGCAGAGAAGTCTCCGCTCTGCTCCCAGTCTGCCACCAACCACCAGCTACCACCACCTTCTCTAGAAGCTGCTATGTTCTTCTTACAGTCTAAGAAATGCCCACAGCATCACCGAACATCTGGAGAGATGGTGCCAGATAGCTCACTCACCTTTCTCGTTGTGAGGATGTTCAGCGTTTTGATGATCTCTTCTAAGGTGATACTGTACCTGTGTCCATGGGTGAAGTTGCTGGTACATGCTAGTAAGCACACCAGAGCTGGAATCAGCTGGGAGGTGAGACCCATTAATAGATCTCTACTTGCAATGCCAATGTGAGACAATTAGTTTACCAGGAGAAGCTAACAATGCAATTCTGACACAGATATCTCTATATATAGATTTAAAATTGCTGAAACGAAGGGAAAATGAGTTTACATTGGAAATTTTCATTACACAAGATTGGGGCCAATCAGCGCATCTCTTCCAGGAGAAAAAAATGCCTCACAGAAACAGGTAAAATGTTCCTGTGAAATAGGAAAATGAAACCTTTTTTAAAATTAACTACAAAGTATCAGCATAGGAAATTACACCATAATTTGCTCTTTAGATTAATCTTATCAGCTTAGGGTTGCTGCTGGCTTTTTGCTTTGAAGGAAGAGGCCACAGGTGTCCGAATTTGTTTTAGTGTAGTCCTCCTGGGGAAAGATAGAGTAATATCAAGAAAGCTTGACTTAAATGGTGCTTCAGCCTGGCTTTTTCCAAGTATGGGTGGCATCTTGGAAACTTTTCTTTTGTGGAAAAGCTGATCTGGGGTTCTTTCTCTGGGTAGAAGGGAAATAATGGGCCCAGATTCTCTCCTGCCCTGGCACTCAGGCCGTCCGTTCTTCCAGGTTCAGGACTTCGGCAAAGGACGGGTAACACCACGTGGGGCTTAGTTTGGGTCCCAGCAGGTCAGTGGGTCTTTAACAATAAGGTGGCCCTAGGCAAGTGAGGTTTGTCCCCAGGCCTCAGGAATGACTATTCTTTAGACGGAACTCAAATAAGTCTTCGGCTAATTAGGAAAAAGCCACATCCTTACAGTGCCCCACCACCCACCTGCTGAGTGAGCGGCCCCACCGGTCACTCAGTCACTCGGTCACTCGCTGGGCTGCGGCAGGGTTCCTGCGCTCAGCACGCCAAGCTGCCCCCTCCCTGAACCTTTCCTTCTGCTTCCTCTCCGCTTTCCTTCTCTTGGTATCCGACCTGCCTCTCCCACCTGCTTTCCTCTGGAAGGTCATACAGAAAAGCTCCTGCGAAGGCAGCTCTGCATTCTGGACCTTACCACAGCGCCTTGTGCCCTAGGAAGGAGGGGACCTGGGTAACTGGATCAGGAAGGTCCTTCCGCCATATTTTGGAAGGATGCTTTCACTGGGACAGTGAGACAAGTTTGCCAGACTCCGCGTAATGACGCCCGACACCAACCACGTGAGTCGGGTCAGACTTCCCAGGTTAAGAGCACAACCTCCACGAAACGGCCCTCACTTCACACAGCAGCTGCAGACAGGGGGCTTCAATCCACTCTCACTTTTGGCCAACTGGCTACAAAGTCAAGAGTCCCCGTTACTCCCTCAGGTTCCATAATGTGCTGGATTGAATGACTCACAGAACTTGGGAGCACGCTGTACACAAGGCTGCACTTCATTACAGCAGAGGGATACCATTCAGATCTAGCCGGGAGAAGAGACACGGAGGATGAGGTCTAGGAAGGTCCCCAACAGCCTCTGCTGTCTTCTCCCTATGGAGTCGGAATGTGTCCCCTCCCCAGCACCTCCATGTGTGACAATGCACAGAGTGCTGCTGACCAGGGTGGCTCACTCAGGCTTTGGTGTCCAGAGTTACTGGGATGCTATCCCGGAGGTGTGGCCGAACCCTTGACCAGTCAGGTGGCTTTATCCTCCGGCCCCCTCTTTGGGAGTTGGGCTGATATCACAACAGCTTAATGATGTGGCCGGCCCCCCACCCTGAGCTGCCTCATTAAGATAAAGGACAGGGCCCAGCATGAATAGCACTTGGGAAATCCCAAGGATTTAGGGGCTGCCTCTCAGGAAGTAATGACAAAAACCAGCCAAATTCTTAATTTCAGGGGTTGAGAGCTCATCTCCCAAGAGTGGGGGACAAAGGCCAGACTTCTTTGGATAAGTTAATTTTTTTAAATTGATATTTCTTTTTTCCTTTAGCTATATTGAGATATAATTATATACAGCACCGTATGAGCTTAAGGTGTATAGCATAACGATCTGACTTACATATATTGTGAAACAAATGCAAGTTTATTTAGGTTTAAGTTTAGTTAGCTTAACACCTATCATTTCATATAGATACAACAACAAAAAAGGAAAATAAAAATGTTTTTCTCCTGGTGATGAGAACTCTTGGGGTCTGCTCTCTTAACAGCTTTCAAGTACACCGCACGGCAGCGATAACTACAGTCCCCATGTGGCACATGACACCCCAGTACTTCGTCTTATACCTAAAAGTTTGCACCTTTTGACCACCTTCATCCAATTTCCCCACCTTCCTCTGGTAAACATAAATCTGATCTTTTTTGCTATGAGTTTGGTTTCTCTGTCTGTTTACTTGTTTTTAGATTCCATCTATAAGTAAGATCAAACGATATTTGTCTTTCTCTGTCTGACTTGCTTCACTTAACATAATGCCCTGTAGGTCTACCTATGTTATCACAAACAGCAGGATTTCCTTCCTTTTATGGCTGCATAATATTCGTGAGTGTGTGTGTGTGTGTGTGTGTGTGTGTGTGTGTGTGTGTGTACCACAACCTCTTTATCCATTTATCCATGGGTGGACACTTAGATTGTTTCCATGTCTTGGCTGTTGTCGATAATGTTGCAATGAACATAGAGGTTAGTATTGTTGGTTAGTATTTTTGTTTCCTTTAGATATGTATCCAGAAGTGGAATTGCTAAATCGTATGGTAGTTCTATTTTTAGTATTGTGAGGAACCTCCATGCTGTCTCTCATAGTGGCTGCACCAATTTACAGTCGCACCAACAGTGCGCAAAGGTTCCCTTTTCTCTGCGTCATCTTCAGCATTCGTCATCTCCTGTCTTTTTGTTAATGGTCAATTCTAACAGATGTGAAGTGGTTTCTCATTGTGGTTTTGATGTGCTTTACGTGATAGCGAGTGATGTTGAACACCTTTTCATGTACCTCTTGGCCATTTGTATATTGTCTATGGAAAAATATTTAGGTCCTTTGCCCATTTTTTTACATTAGATTCCATTGTTTTTTTTTTCTCCTAGAGTAAGTAAATCCTTCACCACACAGATGGGTGGGATTTATGATGAGAAGAGCAGACAGTTCCTTCCAGGACAGGTGGAGACTTCAAATTCAAGTCAACTATTATTTGGAGTAAAATGGTGCATTTTCCTGTGGAAAGGTTCAAGTTAATATAGTGAACTTGGAAGTGCAGACACACTGGAGCAGAGTGCGGGTGTAGCGTGCCCCTCACAAAGCCCTGGGGTTTGAGGAAGAGCTGGGGAGGAGGGGAGGTCAGCAGGGTCCTCTGCCGAGGAGGCTGTAAGGGGCAACAGAAAGCCATCCACATATCCAGCAGTTGTTTTTGTGACGCTTGCCTTCGCTGATAGCCAGACTCTGGTCTCAGGGCTCTGGGGGCAAAGATGTGACTCAGAAAAGGAATGTAATATGGGAACCAAGTAACTCAGAGGCCAAACACAGCTTCTTTTTTGCTTTTTGTTTTTTTCAATGGTTAGAGGAGGCCACAGGGAAAAAAGGGCTAGTTTTCCAGAACACTAAGAGTGACCAGAATGTCCCCTCAAAGGAAGAGAAGGAGGAAATGGACCGTCCTTTGCAATGTAGCTCCACAGTAGCCCTGCGTGCGTCTGTCTGGGCAGAGGCCAGGAAGGTAGGGACCTGCACGTCAAGGACAGACTCATCCAGCCCACAGGCATCATGGTCGCTGACAGTGTGAGGCGGGCAGGATGGGCTCCGAGGCTCAGAGGGAACCTGAAGATCTGCTTGGTGCCGGCCATGTCAGCCACAGACCTTCTCCCCTTGGCCCTGCATGAGAGCTGACAGCCAGCTCTGGCCCCTGTGTGGCCGCCGAGCTTTCCTTTCAGGCCCTGGAACATACCAATTATAAGCGCTGAATTTAGCAAACAAGCTACCTGTCCACACGGTGATCATGGGAGGTCGCTAACTCTTTCTGGGGCTCAGGTTCCTCACCTGTGAAATGGAATTAATGTAGCTTCTCCTCATGGGATTTCTCTGAGGAGTGAGTGACGGAACCGTGGAAAGTGCCAGGCACACGCCTCTCCATCGAGGGTGGCTGGCTGGACGCCTCCATAGCACACAGTGGGCCCACGCCGCCTGTCGGTGCTAGCTGCTCAACTGTGTCACTGTGTGACCTCGAGCAAACCACTCAGCTCCCTCAGTTAAGTGAGGGAGACAGCTGTACCTGCCTCACGAGGTGGTTCTGAAGAATACAAAAGTTAATCTTTTTAAAGTAGTTGGACTAGTGCCTGGCACATAGTGAGTGCTCTGCAGATGACAACACTATCGTGGTTATTATTATTGATCATATCTTTGGTTGGGCGAATGACTGTGATACTTAATAGGCAAACCCAAGTCTGGACAGGGCCAGTGGAGGCTTTGCCAGTGGACACTTCCCCACACACGTCTGTCCTGGATGTGTCCCCTTTTTAGTCTTTGAGAAGACTTATTTGGGGCGTCACCTCTAGTTGCTACACAGCAGCCCTCACATGTACCTGGATTCACTGCAGGAAACAAATACTGCTGTGGGCACCTTGGGCAGAAAGCATTTAATGCAGAAAGTAGGTGCTTGTCAACATGTTGCGGGAGGAGTAATGGAGCAGGCTCCAGGCTGGGCCCCAAACCCTGAAGAAGTGACCAATAGGAAGGACTGCTACCCTCGAGGCTGCCGCTGCATGTCTGAAGTTCAAAATCACACCCCCAAGACTGCAGTCCAGGGCCCTCAGAGCTGCCATCTCAGCTGCCTCCCGACACCCACAGAACTGCTCCGGGAGATAAAGTTCCCATGCCCACCCCCCCAAGGGGCAGGAAGGTGGCGTGTGCCTGCCCGCCTTCCGCAGCTCGCTGGAGAAGAGTTCACACCCAGACTTCAACTTCAAGGGCGTCTGGGAACTGGATCTGAGTTCAAGGGAAAGGCATGGTGGCCAAGCCGAGCAGCCCAGAGTCTGAGGCTCTTCGGTTGGTGGCTTCTGCCCCCCTCACGCTCACAGCCTTGGCACTTGCTGTCCCCACTCCCTGGACGTTTTCCTCCATTATGCTGAGT